AAAGCCCTTGCAGGCAAACGGATTTCAAATGATAGCTCTTGAAGCCAAAACTGAAAAACAACAAGCAGAACCAAGGGCAGCACTGCAAGTTAGTGGCCACTTGCTTTCATGCTGGAAAATATGTCTCGATAAGTATGTCCAGAGAAAGCCTAAGCGTTTCTGTTTTCCCCCACTGCCTGTATGATTTACCATTGCTGTGTTTGCATGGTTATTTACCACAAGGCAGCCCACGCTCTTTTGTCAGACGAAGGAAATGTTTACACTTCCTTTTGTTCCCCTGCTGCTTTTCTTGTACCACTTGAAAGCCCCTTGGGCATAAACCACAATAGTTTCAAAATAGCAGGAAAGGCCACTGGGCCAGAAAAAAACAAGTACACCACATGGTGTTTTTTTAAAATACTTTTTCTCCTCCCACAGTATTTTGATTCCACCCAAGTATGTTTTCATCCAGGCTTGCCATGCACTATGGGCATACAGCTGCAGCTATCAGGCGCAGATAGCATCGCCAGAAGGAACAGGGACCCCAACCAACATGTAACTGATTTTGATCAAGTTCTTCAGGCTGGCAGGCAAAAGATGTGGGCCTTCATTCTGCTTGAAGTGCTCAAGAGCATCCTGCCTGAGCAAGCGAGCAATTTGTTTACTTCTATCCTCGTACTACCTGAGTTCCCGTATGCTTTAAAAACATGATGAATTTCAGCCTGGTAACCAAGAATCAAAACCTGATTGATGAATCTCCACATACCAGAGGCTCTTCCATCCATTGGATGAGGTCCAGGTTCGAAACTGTCGAGATACCATTGGATCAGTGGCTGAACCCCGTGCCTGACCCCTATTACTGGACATCCTGACAGCTTACACCTTGACAAGAAAAATGCAAAGGACACATGTCTGATGCACTAATGGAACACCAAAACCTGAAGCATCAATGTGCTATACTTGTGACAGCTTCAAAAAATGAAAGCATCCATGTGCTTTTTGGCTTAAACATGAAAGCCCTAAAGGCTGCTTATGTAAAAACTACAATATATTATGTTAGTTGTGCCAAATAGTAAACCAAATTAATATCAAAATCTGAAAAGTAAAATATACTATTGTAGGTTCAAGTTAAGGTTCTGAATTGAAATGCCAACTGTTTGTTTTCCAATTTAGATTTCTGAATTGAAATGGAGACTGTTTGATTTTCAATTTAGAATTCTGAATTGAAATGGTGAGTGTTTGATTTTCAATTTAGATTTCTGAATTGAAATGGTGAATGTTTGATTTTCAATTTAGAATTCTGAATTGAAATGGTGAGTGTTTGATTTTCAATTTAGATTTCTGAATTGAAATGGTGAATGTTTGATTTTCCATTAGATTTCTGAATTTAAATGGCGACTGTTTGATTTTCAATTTAAATTTCTGAATTGAAAATTGCGACTGCTTGATTTTCAATTTAGAAACAGAATTGAAATTCTTATTGTTTGATAGTTTGATATAAAGTTTTTTATCACCACCCAGGCTTTGCTGGAGTCAGTAAGATCTTAAGCGAGTACAAGTGTTCAAGCCATACTCACCCTCCAAGTTCTTTTGCCATCCACACTTTTTGACGTAGCCCACCAAAGCTGCCACATACGCCTTCACCCGTGAAACTTCTTCCCATCGTTATAGTAGGCATCTCATCCTGTGCACTTCTCCAAGCTTCCAAGCAACTACTAGCCCAGAAACTTTCCCGAACCAACCTCCACTAGAAGTTCCTCGAGGAGGCACGAACTCTGGTACTTGAGAATGAACAATACTAAATGCATAGATCAAGAAACTTGAATCCCACACAGAAAGCAAAACCATAGATCAAGAAACTTGAATCCCACACAGAAAGCAAAACCATAGAAACATATGATGCTTGAGAAAATGTATGAATTTCCTATCAGATACATCTTGAGTAGACGAAGACCCAGTCGAAGCTTGAGAGCCTTTTTGTTTGGTGCAATAAAGAAGCTTCTTCACCTGGTCAGGAGTACAGGTCAACCTCCCCCATTGCTTCTGGAACTGGACCAGGTAGTTCTTTGGGGATGCGTGCCATGCTGCTGAAGCCTCAGAGGGGTACTTCAGGAGTGGCAGGTGCCAACAAACCAACATCAGGTTGAACTGGCAAAACCATAGTTGCACTGGCTGGTGAAGACGCGCAGATACCTGGACTTGGGCCAGGTGCCATTGGGCTCACCTGGTGGCTGTTCTGGCAGGTCAGGCATCAGGCCATCCATCTGCAGCCTGTATGCAAAGTTCACCAAGAGGTCCAAGGTCTGCTTTTGCAACTCTTCTTCATTCGAAGGATCCTGAGAGGGGACGACAGCGGGGCCAAAAAAAATGAAGTGATGAGTATGACAAAATGAAGGGGGTTGGCCGCCATCACCCTCCCTCTTCATCACTACAGGTGGAAGTGGTGGAACATGTTTGCATTGCTTTGTTGCTTGTGTTACATGCCCATGAGGTTCCTTCAAGGTGTTTTTTCTATAAAACTATGCTTATTACTAAGCATGCAACCAGTTGAACAACTACAAACTCCTGACAGCCAAAACATTCCCATGCATGAGCGCACAAGAGTTCCAAACTTGCATGCGCATTCCAAAACTTTGTAGCTTGCAGGGATGGAAAACAACACAATTGATACTGGAGGACTCTTCTGCCCAGAGTTCAAATTGGCGTGCGTTCGCGCGTGCTGGTGACAGCATCTCTTGGAGCAGAAAACGGACGCTGCGCAGGTTGAGGGGCAAGGGAAAAAATGCGACTTTCTGTTGAACTTGTACACGCATGTAGACATATTTACTTATGTATATAGTATATATGCAAATAGAATTACGTTTGATTACGTTTGTGTGGGGAGGAACGAAATAGACCCCAAAGGTCCCTGCCACATATATATATATATATGTAGACTTATGGTATGAACACATGGGGGCTATTCTGGCAGGAAAAAGCTCACATCATTGATGAGAACATAGTCATCATCGCATGGTGGTAATGGGCAGCCCGTCGCCGAAACAAAGATAACAACGCCACCAAGCGTCGTGGTAACATGACGGCCTCATAGGTGGCCCATTTAGTTCGATGGCCTATATAAACTATATAAAGCCGATGTAAGGGAATATCCCCACAAAATATGGCCAAAAATATGGTACTAACGTACCTCCATTTTAGGATCCTGGAATTTCCATTAAAGAGGGTGATTTTCCACAGCAAAGTACTATTCTACTGGAGGGTAAACAGAAGTGCCAGAATCACAGGAAAATCACCCTGACAACTTCGGCAAGGCAGGGATCTTGCCATCATGGTCATGTAAGTAGTCTTAACCCAAGCAGATGATTTTTTTCTTCTCTCAGCTAAACGTGTGGTTCAATGAAATTAATGTGGAATTTTTAGGAATCACTGTTGGCTGGACTGGTCGATTGACATCCGAAAATGAAACCAACAGAATGCACAAGGTTTGCCATGTTGCACGTCGCATCTCTGTCTTGCCTTGTTCTCACTCGTTTCGCGCTGCCCTGATCGCCCTGTGTCTCTCTTCTGTCGGGTCCTGGGGGGCTTTCATAGGGGGGTCGTGTGCTTACCAAACGTATGTGTGATTCGTTCCGTACTCAAAGTCGCATCGCGCTTAAAGGTTTGTGTCAAGGTCATGAGTCCGTTGAACTGCAGCAAATTTTTCGTCTTGGTCACACCTCTGATTTGTTGTATTTCGGTCTCCAAAAAGCTTTGGTGGCTCTTCATAAGTTCCGTTGCGCTAGAGAGTGTCTCCTGACCTTCCGCGGGGTTCTTCCGTTCTCTCGTGTATCTCGACTGCTTTGAGTCGCTTTGGTGGGTTCTCTGTGTCTCCCGGGGTGTTTCAATTTGATCGTTTCCGTTGGGACACTGGTACTCCTTTTGAGTTTTCCTCAACCTATGCTCATAATTTCAGGACGACCTGGAGGATGTTCAAGTTTGATGAATGGAAACGTTCCGATCGGAACGGCACTGAGTTGGCTCGGTCATGTGATGTGCGCTTGACTGTTCAAACTCTTGATCAGATGCGAACTTAGGCTGCGGCTTTGGATGGCCATTGCAATCAGGTGTTGTGCGGTGGCATCTGGACTGAGGCTCATGCGAATGTCATCCCACAAACATGCTCCCTCTGCCGGGAGAACGTTGTCCCTAGTACTAGTCACATTCTGTGGCATTGCTCACAATTTGAAGCTTTGAGACAGGTTGCTCAACCCAGGAACCCCTTTGTTGCAAGGTGCGCGTGGGGGCCGTAAGGAATCGACTTCGAGCTGCTGCATCAAATGGCGGCTATCCGGTGTGAGTTGCGGAAGGCTTACACCGAGCTTGGCATTGGCTGCTGAGCCGACTGGGGCTGCTGCTGCTGCTGCAGCGGCCTTCTTGACCGCTAGTGCGAGCTACACTGCGGTTTCGAACTACTACTGGTTCAATGAAGTGAGACCAGTGCAATTCAACGATTTAGTCGCCCCTTTGGGCGCCTCAATCTGCAATTTAGGTTTGCCTGAAAACGGGGTACCGAATTTTCCCCATTCTTCTCAATCACCCCCAAACGCACATTGGTGGTTAGTTATAACCAACCAAACCGTAGCTATATCAAAACTTGATGGTTAGTACCATGCTAGTATATATCCATTGTATATCCATTATCTATTCCACATACCCATTAAATCTCCATTATCCATATATGTATATGTATTCATATATATATATATATTATAGTTTATATCCATTAGTGTATAATTTCTTTTATATCCAGAGGCCAACCAGTATATTATAATATATATGATAAATAAATGGATATATATATACATATATAAGGAGATAATCCCATATTATTTAATAATACACTACTAATATGATTATAGTAATACTATATATATATAGTTATTATTTTTTCTATATGACATACCCATAGACATGCATGATATATCCCACTATATTATATATCCGACTATTGATATCTCCCTTACTTCAGCTCCTCCGCGGAGGCCGAAGTGGAAACTGCGGCCTCTGTCAGGTCCTCCCTCATTGTGGAGATATATCGGACCGAAGACATGGATTCAACCGGATGATAGAAATGATCAATGGGAATTTCAGGATCCTAAAATGGAGGTACGTTAGTACCATATTTTTGGCCATATTTTGTGGGGATATTCCCTTACATAGGCCTTATATACGCCTTATATATGGTAGGTACCTCCAATTTAGGTTCCTGAGATGGCCAGTGAAATGATGAACAGTGTTTTGACAGGATAATCATTAGAATATGTTTCTTCAAAAAGATTTACCATATGGTTATTTAACATAGCCATGGACAATGACCCATTTAACGACGGTTTACCGAACTAATAGCATGGTGATTTTCCATGGCAAACTGTTAGTCACAACCAGAGGGTAAACATAAAGTACGACTGGTTGAATTCTCATTGGGTTACCTCATTACACTAAGTACAATCTCGTTTTTGGTGCAGTTGGAATCTTCAGTTTTTTTGATTCAAATATGAACAGAGAAATGTATCAATATTAGGATTCATTTTTTTTGACTCAGGTTTTTCTTCATTTTTTTTGGAGAAAAATGTATATGTCCTACCGCGTTGTTGTCTATTTTGCACCCACACAAAAACGGGGCCTCCAGGGTTTCGTGTTGAACGCCTTGTTGCAACGTGTGCCTTTGTATAAGAATGGTAGATGAAGATTCGCCCTTGCAAACGTCGTTGACGGTTAAGATTCGACCTTGATAAACAGAAACATGATTGAGGTTGGCCAAATACCTTCTGTTTATTGAACAGTTTGCGAACTGGAAAGTCACCATTTTTGAACACGGTAACTCATCATAAATCATCTATGTCAATGGGCAATTTTCCATAACACATTTTGAAGTAACTACTACCGTCTAGATGACATTCACATCATAAATAATCTATGGGTATCTAACAAAAATTGTTCTTTTTTGAAATGTTAAATAATGTTGGTACTATACCATAGAAGCATTATTGCTAGATACTCATAGAACCATAATTACAGTTATATAATCATGTTAGTACCATAAAACCAGAAGGCAAATAATAGATGAATGACCATATATACCCATAGATAGATACCAATTAACAATAAAGTTGCTTAAATGTTAGAACCTTCTGGTTACTAAATCTGGTTAACAATGATATTGGTTAAGTAATAGTAATGGTTAACCACTACTAAATAATGTTACTTAACCATAATTGTTGCTTAGTAAATACCTTCTGGTTGCCCTATTTATTGTTAATGGGTATTATCAACATAATTAAGTAACTAACATTATTACTATTATTATTATTATTAATACCATCTGGTAAATTAACATAGACCCTGAAAATGGCATTTTTTAAATGGCACTCATCTTCCAATCCCTATCTGGCAGGGTCTATGTTAATTTACCAGAGGGTAAATCCCATTAGATCCCATTAAATCACCATCGAATTCCATTAAAGTCTCACTAAATCCCATTAAATCCCATTAAACCACCATCGAATTCCATTAAAGTCTCACTAAATCCCATTAAATCCCATTAAACCACCATTTTCCTATGGTTTTCCTATGAAAAATGGTACCCTTTGGACATGGCAGATCCTTTGCACCTTCTCCACGTCGTTTTCGCTCGCGAGAGCAGGTGGAGCATGGTGGAGCAAGTGGGCTGTGTGTTTTAAGTCTGTTAAGTGGTTAGGAACCATGGCTACAGCTCAGATATATAGATATATATATATATACATAGTGGTGCCCCATAGATAGCTAAGTTGGTTTATAACTACAATAAGTAGGACTTATGGTAGATATATCTATAGTTGATGGGGGTTATAAACTAACTTATAACTGGGGGGTACCACATTGTATATACACCATATATATACACACACATATATATATATTATATACACCATATATATACATATATATATATATACCATCTTGTTTAGCGCTTCAAACCTAGGGGGACTTGGAACTGAAAGGTCAATAAAAATATGTCAATTAATCATGTGTTTTCCTTGGATTTAATCAAAAATGGTGGGTTTTTGTGGGGATAATAGGTGGTGTATTGGGGGGTCTAGTGGGACCAAAAAAATCAGGGTTGCTCCAACGGGATGGAGTTAGACATTGGATAGCCACGGGAGATATACATTGTCTAACTATTTTTGTTGTATATCTAGATTTATGTTGAACATTGGATATACCAACCCATGGTAAATGATAGACAGAAGGGGACACAGCTTGTCGTGTTACCTCTTTATCTGCCCATTTCCGCCCGTGTATCGTTGGGAGCATGAGCATCTATAGGGAATAAAATCACGGTTATAGGGTTGTCTCGCGATGGAGGATACCCCATGTATCGCCAGTTTAATGGGAACATGATGATATACCATGGGGGTACGGGGGGGGTTCCCCAACATGTTCCGACCAATCCATTATGTATATATGTATATATGTATATATGTATATATGTATATATGTATATATGTATATATGTATATATGTATATATGTCTATATGTCTATATGTATATATGTATATATGTATATATGTATATATGTATATATGTATATATGTATATATGTGTATATGTATATGTATACATATAGACATTAAAATTGAAAGAACTAAGTGGAACCAAAGTGGAACCAAAGTGGAACCAAAGTGGAACCAAAGTGGAACCAAAGTGGAACCAAAGTGGAACCAAAGTGGAACCAAAGTGGAACCAAAGTGGAACAAGACATCAGAATATGTGAAGAGATGTTGTCAAGAATGAGGCTAGAAGTCATGCGGATTTACCCTCTGGTAATTTGTTACATTGCTATTGAAAATGGCCCAGTCGAAATAGTGCATTTACCCAGCTATAACATGGTGATTTTCCATAGTTTTTTGTATGTTTACCAGAGGGTAAGTGCCATTAAATCCCATTAAATCCCATTAAACCACCATTTTCCTATGGTTTAACCAACATCCTGCAGATTGGTGACTCCCCCAAGCTGAATCCCCATGATTTTGTGCAGGGCATGTCTCTCAGCTGGTCGATGCTGGCTGCGGCTGCACGCTCTGTTTGGAGATCTTGTAGGATCGAATCGGACGATGGAAACAGGATGATGGTTGGAACCGCCATTTGTGGATCATTTGCCAACTGTTGTTTCCTAGTGGAGAAGGACCGTTTCATAATTTGATCTATTCACTTTTCAGACACCTAGTCTATTATTTTACTGGTCTGGTTGCAACTGCTGGATGTTTTCGATACGGAACCCTCAGGAGTCGATTTTTTCTCTTACCTTCCGCCAGTTGGTCTGGTGACAAGTCTACAGTTACGTGGCAGAAGATCAGCGTATCGGAAACCTACCAATCCTGAAACTTAGCGATTTTCATGGACGCCACATTGGCAAATTGGCACAAGATAAACAGCAGCACATGATCCCATTGAATGGAGGAACTCAGCTGTCTTAGAACATTCATGACAACATGATGTACCCATCCTGGAAGAGATAAACTATGGTAAGATATGAAATCGGTCCATCTCTCCATCTCAAAATGGAAAATGATCAAATCCAAAACGAAGGAATACTCGGATATTCCACCGAAAACTCCGACCCCTTTCCAGAGAATTTGGTACGGCACTGGTAATCCAACATGGCGGTGTGACAGAGGACTTTCCCTCCACCTTTGCAGAAAAACCAAAACATGGAAGAAATCCTAGGAACACCCAAGAAAAACCTAAGGCAAAATCCACACATCGATTCACATTTTTTTTTCTCATGGTTGTCGTTTCCCATTTTTTTACAGTAGTTTTTTTCTTACTGGTGCGATTTACGCAGGGAATTTTCGGGAATGATCCAGTGGCTAACTAGTAATAATCATCCCAGCAACCCCCATTCCTATCCATTCCCTACGTAAAACGCACCAGTAAGTTTTTCGTCGAATCCCAGTGTTTCAACCCCCCAGAAGTTGGGGATACATAATCCCTATAAACATTGTCATATGGGGGTTTCCATAGTCATGGGGGTACTCCCAAATTCCCTACATAGTGGTACCCCTCAGTGATGTTTGTTGGTTTATAAACCCCATTAACTATAGTTATGGAGAATAGCATCCAATATCCTCTGGTGAACTAACATGGCTATGGATAATCACCATCTTTAAGTTCGGTAAATCGAACTTAGCTATCGAACTTGTAGTTATAAACCAACTTAGCTATCGAACTGGGGCACCACTATGTACTACTGTTTTTTCTGCAAATCCGTTCTGATTTCCAGCGTCCCAGGAGAGATCGCATGTCCAGCATGCTGCGGTGCAAAGGACGGGTGGATCCCGATGGGCGATCATATAGATGTCTCGGAAATCTGGGGGATCTACACATCATGGGAAATATATGGAAAATATGGTGATTTATTGGAAAAATATAGGAAATATGGTGATTTATGGAAGATACCCTCTGGTAAACATACAAAAAGCTATTGAAAATGGCCCATTGAAATAGTTGATTTACCCATAAACAATGGTGATTTTCCATGGTTATGTAAACGTTTACCGGAGGGTAGATGCCAATCCAGATTCAAGATGATAATTTTCTGGAGAGTTTCTGGACATATTCAAATCATTTTTCATATCCATTATCTGGATGAGCTAACCATGGCCATATTCATCATATTTCTGGGTAAATTTAAATTATAACCGAAGCCTGTCCTCCCAAAGCCTGGAATCATCCCCAATATGGCCGAACTATTCAGGTGAGTGAAAGATTGTAATTTACCCAGATATACGGTACCAATAGTTACTATCTATAGATGGCTATATATATATATATGGTATATATGGTAACTATATATGGTAACAACCTATCATATTTCACAGTTAAATATGCAATGATAGTAAGTTTCCCACTTAATATTCATCATATTAAAATAGCTTTTTGATCCAATGGTTGTCCCTATGATATCTCAATGATTTTTCATTTTTACCCTCTAATCTTGGATGATGACCGTTGGATTGATGTGAAAAATCATTGAATTCAGCCACGGAAAAAAGGCGTTTCGGTTCACGCGAGCTCGACTGGGGGCCCCATCCTGATATTCATCCCGAAAAAAAGGCTTATTTTCATTGATATTCAATGATTTTTCCCTATAAACCATTCTAATATTGAATGATATCCCATGGTTTACCTATTATTTCCACATATTAAAAGATATTTTTGATCCAATGCTTGTCCCTATGATATCATGATTTCTCACATTTTACCCTCTGGCTTCACGGTTCGACCCAGGACACCGACGGCCGCTGTTGGCATCTTGCGCATCAACCTTGGTGGCCATGAATCGGCCAGCGGAGGCGAAGACAAGACGTGGATTTCCTTCCAAGGGTTATTGGAACATCTAAGCATTGGATATATGGATTGGACAATGTGGTAATCTAACCATTGGAAAATCGAAGCATTGGATATATATATTGGTACCAATTGTTGGGACATATATTGTATTGGACATATCTGGGTAAATTTCATCACGACCTCACTGTCCTCCCGCACTGGGAATGATGGTGAAAGTATAGGGAAATCATCCAAATATGGCCGAACTATTCAGGTGAGTGAAATATTATAATTTACCCAGACATATGTATTGGAAAATCTAACCATTGGAAAATACAATATGATAATGTATTTTCAATGTAAATTGGATATCTGACCGTTAAACATATTGGACATATGTATTGAAAAATCTTCCGATGGAAGGACATCTGTGACATTTTTACTATCCAATGTTTTTACTATCCAATGTTTTTACTACCCAATGGGTCGAAGTTGGGGAATCTGGGGAAATCTATGATTTTATGGTGATTTAATTTGGATTGAATGGGATTTTTCATGATCCAGTGGTGAACTGAGGGAGCGATTTGGAGCTAGCTAGGGGGTTTCATATTCCCAACAAGAGCTATGGGGAGCCAGTTGGATCTACGAATTGAGTTTCCCAACCGCATTGATAGTTTACCAGTTTACCACTTTACCACATTGAAAATTGGGAGTTTGTTTTTCATCATTGTTATCAGTCATTGCGTGCCATAAAAAGGACTATTGAATTAGGGTACACACCATTGTCACACCATATGCCATATTTTCTGGGATATTTTGATATATCTACAAAATAAACCCAAAACGTTTTCTCAAAGAATGATGTTCACCAATTCACCAAGCATAGTTTGATTTTTTCATCTACCAATAAACAAAAACACCAACAACTAGTTGTCAATCTTGGGGTTGCTTCAGGTGACCAGGTGGGCTTTCTTGACGAGTCCATGGTTGGATAATTCCCCGTGATCCCCCGAAAAAAAACTTGGCTGGATGTTGCTTGGATGAGTCTGGGACCCTTGCGCAGATGTCCAAGATTACGAAATGGTTTTTGTCGCAGTTTGTTGATGAACATTTTTTTTTTTTGGTGGTCTACCCTCTGGTTAAGTCAAAATAGCTATTGAACATGGCCATTTATAGTGAGTTTTCCCATTAAAAATGGTGGTTTTCCATAGTTATGTGAAAGTTTACCAGAGGGTACATCCTAAAATTGTGGTCTAAACATGTCTAAAACCCTAAACTTGGCGTTGTCCGAACTTCTCAGCCGAAACTTGACGGTGTCCGAAGCGGAAGCCCGTTGAGTCGACTTCGGAGTGGATTTCATCGAGTTTCACCAGCTGGAGACATGGCTATCTTCCAGATGGCTTTTTCTGAAAATTTAGGGTACCCCTAAATCCTCTGGTTTATAGAACTATGTCTCATTATATATATAGGGGTACCCAATTTTCAGATATTTTTAGGGGAACATATAATGATAAACAGCAATTGAGGGGTACTAATTTAACATGATATGTTCCCCATTATATATAGATACCCTCTGGTTATGACATTCACAGTTTGCGATCTGGAAGCCATCACCATGCTTTTTTCAGAACGGTACACCATTCTATTTCTATGGACCATGGCTTAACCATGGCAAACTGACAATGTCATAACCAGAGGCAATATCCCATTAAATCCCATTAAACCACCATTTTCCTATGGTTTTCCTATGGTTTTCCTATGGTTTCTGAAGCCGGGACATCTTCCAGTTGGGCAGGATGGTTTTTGGTGCTGAACTCATCGAGGTCTGGAGGATCATCTTCCTGGGTCTATCTCTCATCACATCGTAAGTTATCCCATGAATCCATGAAAGTGGAGGCTATCGCCTCCAGCAAACATACCCTCTGGTAAACATACAAAAAAGTATGGAAAATCACCATTTATAGTGGATTTTCCCATGAAACTAAGGTACAATGTGAGGCCCCCAGTCGGTAGCGTTCAGTTGGTGAACAGAACTCCAATTTCACTCTGGTTTATGGTATTTATAACGAACTAGTTACTGGGGCGAATCTAAACCAACAAACATATCTTGGGGGCCTCACATTGTAGCTATAACGAACATTTGAAAATCGGCCATTTAGAGTTTAGAGTTGATTTACCAAGATCAAAATGGTGATTTTCCATATAACTTATTAGTTTACCAAAGGGTAACCCCACAAACACTCAGCAGATACCAGGTATGGTGATCCCCCCTAGATGGATGTCTTCCAGCAGCATCCCTCACTTCGCTAGGCCGAGGAAGCTGACTATGCGACTTGGCGCGAGAGTGGCGCGACAACCGAAGCGAAAACCCTCCGATCGTCATGGGAAATGCCAGTCCGAACAGGCGATTCAAATGGGATCATCCATCTGGGTAAATTTCATCACGACCTCACTGTCCTCCCTCACTGGAAATCATAGTTAATAAGGGAAATCATCCCCAAATGGGCCTTAATTCAGGTTAGTGAATTATTATAATTTACCCAGAATCCACATCCATAAATTTGGATATTTTCCAACTGGCCATGATTGATTAGAGGGTAACCATAAAAACTGGTTGGTGGTGACTGGAACATGATTGGATTATGACTTTCCCATCATATTGGGAATGGAAAATCATCCCAACTGACGAAGTTATATTTTTCAGAGGGGTAGGGCTCAACCACCAACCAGATCAATAATTATGATCAACCATCCAGTTAGAAGTTGGTTTATAAACCCCATGAATACCATAGTTATCTAGTTCGTTATTTTATACCATAAACCAACTTATACCGAACTAGATAGGGGTTTATAACTGGACCCATTAACATCCATTAACCATAAACCCCCATGACTTATAACTGAATCTGTTATAAGTTGCTTCAGTCATGGGGGTATCAACCATCCAGTTATAAGTTGGTTTATAAACCATGAAATAATCCCCATGAAAACTAGTTCGATATATCTACCATAAACCATAGTTATACCATAAACCATAGTCATGGGGCTTTAAATTCAGATTGGTGAACTTCTCAGAATAGACACTTCCGAGATGGACTCATTTTCCCTTCTGGGGCAAGAAAATCATCAACAAAGGCGCGGTAAAGCCTCTGGTACACCATAGGAAAACCATAGGAAAACCATAGGAAAATGGTGGTTTCATGGGATTTAATGGGAGTTACCCTCTGGATTAATATCCATTAATAGTGGTTAAATATATCTATAGTGATTAATAAGGGGAATAGATATGGATTACCCTCTGGTCAACGAACTCACATAACGAACTGGAAAATCCACCCATTTTATAGCTGGGTAAATCAATTATTTCAATGGCCATGGCTTCAATAGCAACCTGTTAAATGACCAGAGGGTAATACCATCATATCATACAGAATGGGCCTCCCCAGTGATGTGAACGTTGGTTTATAAACCATGAAATAGTCCCCATGAAAACTAGTTCGTTATATCTATCATAAACCATAGAATTCAGCCACTTATAAGACAACTTAGTTAAACCATAGAATTCAGCCTATATATCTATCATAAACCACGAGGGTATATGTAACGTTCGTTATATCTATCATAAACCGATTATGTGGTTGAATTATAAGTAGTTCTAAACCATTATTAACCCCATTAACCCAGTATAAAATAGTTATAAACCATCATAATCCATAGTTTTTTCAGCCACTTTTTTCTTCGGCGTTTCTGAACGAACGCGAGCAAGCGATCTCGACAACGGGGGCCCCGTATCCTGTAGAAGGATGACCTGTTGAATCTCCACATAGATCGGTGAAGTCGTAGATATTCTAGTGACATTTCTATGACACCACCATAGATATCACCATAAAACCACCATAAAACCACCATAAATGGTGTTAGAAGAACATAGTGGAAATGTTTAGAAATGTTTAGAACATATCAATTCTGATAATTCCACCATAAATCCACCATAAATCCAGCATTTTGACAGGTGACTTGAAGCTGAGGTCTATCCAGAGTGGATCCGCCTTCCGTTGGCTCCCTATGCCCGCAGAAGGACCTTGCTCAAGGAGCTGGTGCCAAACCAGGCGGAGCATCTGAGGTTCTCGGAGAATTTCCTGGGGGTTACCCTCTGGTTATGTCAAAATAGCTATTGAAAATGGCCATTTAGTTCGTGGATTTACCCAGCTAGAAAATGGGTGGATCTTTCCATAGCTATGTTAAATTACCAGAGGGTATCCCAGTTGGTATAAGTTGGTTTATAAACCCCATGAATACTAGTTCGTTTTTTGCGTAGCATAAACCATAGTGAAATTGGAGTTATGTAAGCCCCAACTGAACGCGAGCTCGAACGGGGGCCTCAAATATCTATGGGTACAAAAAAGGCTACTCGTACTAAGCAGTTACTAAGTGGGGACGATCTTCCAATCCAGTTGGAATATATAGGGGTTACGGTTAATATAAGTTTATGGTGATATTTCATGTGATATATCACCATTTCATATGCGAATATTGGGCATTGTGTGTTTGTGTGAGTGTATACATTTGTATATATATATAAGATCATTACTATGGGGTTAAGTTGGTATCATCATGACTCGATTATGACATACATATATATATAATATAGATACCACAATGGAACATGACACATTGGGCTTAGTTTTTGGTGATATATCTCATATCACTATTTTACGCAGGAATTATGTGTAGATTATGTTTGTATACTAGTGTTGGGTCCATCAATCCATCCCAGAAGCGGTTTAAGGAAAAGTCTGCAGGAACTCCCTATGTTTGATGGTCAAAACATGTAAAAACCAAGTTTTCTGCTTGAGATTTTCCCTTAAACCAATCTCAATGGATTGGTTTAAGGGAAAATCTACAGGAAACCATAGGTTTTCCCATTAAATATGGTGCTTTCCTGTAATTTTTCCCTTAAACCAATCCATTGATAATCCCTTCAGTTGAGATTTTCCCAGCAATTTGAAATCCTCCACTTAGTTTGGGGAGTTCCCAGCCATGTTTGAGTTTCCACCGGAGGGTACTATCCATTGGTGAAGATACGAAGAATATCTTGGACAAAAACATATTTATTGCAATAGTATTGCTTATAATAGGTAATTACCAATGGTATATCTTCGCATACAATGGATATTACAATGGACTATTCATACAAGGTGTAATCAAGATATAAGCAAATTTTAATATGTTTCGTTACATATATGTAGACATTATCTTAAGATGACCATATTATGCCATTGGTACCAGACTTATCTATACTTATTTGGAGCAACAGACAGCAACACCAGATTTGGTCCATGTCAGGTTTGGACTTTGGACCAACTCTTTGGCACCTTCTATGTTTATGTGCCCATCCGAGCCACCGTCTTGAAGGCCGGGGCCCGGAAAGTTGTGCCTCGATGTCGGATGGCTGGTTGATGCTGCTTGATGCTGCTTGATTTTGAGACATACTTTGGAGGAAGGCTGATTTAGAAACATGCTTTCTGATCATTTCAAATGGAATCAGCAGAATTCCATGAAACTTATGATTTCCCATATATTTCCATTGTTACACCTCCATTTTTTGTTAAAAAACTCACCAGAGGCTATTGATACAGTTGGTCTCTGTAAACGTGCTTGTCTAACATTTGGTCATGTCGCAGGGCATGACGCCGTGGTTCACAACCTCCAAGAAATAGAAACGTTGGAATCATGGAAAGTACCATCTGGTTATGACTAACATAGCCATGGAAAATCCCAATGAAAAATGGAGGTTTCTAGCTGGGAACATCATCCATTTATATATAAGGGATTTTTTCCATGGCTATGTTAGTCATAACCAGAGGGTATCTCGAAATATCAATGGGAGATCTCCAGGAACAGATGGAGGTACTGACGTTAGTCCCATATTTTAGGCCATATGAATTGTGGGGATATTCCCTGAAATTTAGGCCTGAAAACTAGGCCAAACATATATGGTAGGTACCTCCAATTTAAGATCCTGAAATGGCCATTGAATGATTGACAATTGACCATCATTTTATCCATTCGACCATCAATTGGCGCAGACATCCCTGAATATCTTGGATGCTCAAATCCCATCATCATTTTTGCGGCTGATTAGTCATCATGACTGACTGATGGTTCAACGGTGAAATATGGTAAAATCCTAAGTTTTGATGCGGAACAATCCCAATCTGGTTGCTGGTTTGGAACCATGGAATTTGATGACTTTCTTATATAGTTATTGGGAATAATAAGAATCCCAACTGACGATTCGTCATATTTTTCAGAGGGGTAGGTTGAAAACACCAACCAGTTATGGTTGAGATCACATTTTCACTGGCTAAATCAGGAGCAATCCCGATCTTAGCTCCATCTTTCGCAAGGCTGTGGCCATGCTATGCTCCGTTTTTTGTTTGTCTTACGCAGTCGAATATTGAAATGCCACCAATTGTGGCAATCCACCACCAAAAAAATAGATCTACCCCTGAGATAAGATAATAATGTTGATATACTGAGAATAGAACGGAATATTCATGGAATGTTATGGAACATGAAAATTGATATACTGTATACCCTTCGGCAATCAAACAGTTTAAACATGGCTGGCTTATGGAAATGAAGGCTTATAGCTGGGAAAATCATCTACACATTGGATGATTTTCCATTCCCCATGTCTGGTCCTCTCCAGTTTACTCCAGCATGATTGTTACGTTTAAGAGTTATATGATATGTATAAATATATATATATACATAGAATCTGTAATCACTGTAATCTGTACACAAAATACGTCGATTCACATGTTTTGAACTTATATCCGCACATTTTTGTGCGTTCTATACCCCATTTTCTTTCGTTTAACATCCATATTATTGCAGATTGAAGCCCTAGTTTTGCCGTTTTACCTGGTGTCTCAACGGCAAACATATACAGTATATACAGTTGTTACTGTTTCAACCTCCACTATGAATAATGGTACATCCCCATCATTTTATCATTTTCCCTGTTACATACTCGCTCATATCCGCCTAATTTACCAGATATATTCCCAATGTATTCCCATTATATAATATCCATTATATATATATATATTACATATCCATGACATATAACCATAAATAGACGTTTTCCATTTTTTCGATATTTATCACATGATGTTCCCATGGAACAATTCAAATCTCTATCATATTCCCATTAATATGCCGTTAATACCACCATTCATATTCCCATGATATCCCCATTGATCCCTTCCCCCATTCATATTAAACACCACCATGGTTTAGTAACGAGTCTTCACTTGGGACCAGAGAAAGGGGATGTTTCATATGAACCGGGGGATGGGGCTCTCCAGCTATCTCACATGACATACGGTGGATAGAAGAAATCCTGCACCGGTTGGTTTATCCCATTACTTATAGGGGTTCAACCATCCAAGGTGGTGCAGGATTTCTTCCATCCACAGTATCTATGTCACATATCAGATTCCCATTCATATTCCATTCATACTCCATTACATCCCCATTATATCACCATTATCCATTCAATTTACCGTAAATCACATATCATATTCCCATGATATTCCGATCAGACAATCCCATAAACTATCATCATTTATAGACTTTTTTTTTGGTCAAACGATCTTCCCAGGGAAAATTCCCAATCCCATGTAGATTCCACTATGACTATATCCCCATTCAATCCGATTCAATCCCATTAGTATCCACCATTTAATCCACAGATCAGATTCAATTTTTCATATCAGATTCCCATTAATATTCCATTCATATTCCATTAACATCCACCATTCTTATCACCATCCATTTTGAAGCGCAGGTGAAGGGAGGCTTGTTGGTCTATGCTCCTGTGGCTGCCACCAAGGAATGCCTGGGTGGGGCCCCCAGTCGAGCGATAGCGTGAACCGTTGCCTAAAAAAAGTGGCTGAATTAACTATGGTTTATGATAGATATTTCACGAACTAGTTTTCATGGGGATTATTTCATGGTTTATAAACCAACTTATTCACATCACTGGGGGGCCCATCCTGTGGGGATCGGGTTTTTTTAGGGCAAGATTCGGCAGGGCGACCATCCAGTGGGTCCATCCTACGAACCCCCAAAAATGTGGTGTTGCATCTGATGGGTCAAATGATGGGTGCACCCCATTTCAATGAACCCATTCTCTGTGGATATGTTGGAGTATACCCTCTGGTAAACTAACATAACTATGGAAATTCACCAGTTTCAATGGGTAAATCCACTATAAATGGCCATTTTCAATAGCTATGTTAAATTACCAGAGGGTATATACTGGTTGCTGGTTTCAAACATGAATGGATTATTTTCCATTTCATTAGGATGGGATGTCATCCGAAACCCATTGACGAACTCCATCATTTTTCAAGATGGTCAAAACCACCAACCAGTTATAGTTATATCCCATCAAATGGATTTTTCCCATGAAAATCTCAGGGCATTTCCCATTTTTCCCATTTATCCAATAATAAATCCCTATGATAATGGGAAAATTGCATTATTATCCAATAATTAATCCCATTTATCCTCATATTTTCCATTGGTTAAGTTAGGGCAGTTTAACGGGCAGTTAGGAATGGTCTAAGTTGCCGGATGTTGCCCCCAGGTATGGTCAAGGAGCTCGAAGCCAAGCATGGTCCTGTTCGCAGCGTGGCTGATTCGATAGGAAAAGGTGCCCCAGTGATGGAACGTTGGTTTATAAGCCAGTTCATAAGTGTTGTTTGAGATATATACATATATATATATAATATACATAAACTCAAGTGAAATTGGAGTTACAAGTTTCAAGAGATGTTTCAAGGCCGAGACAATAACTGCTTGGCGGTTTTATGGAAATGGGATTGTGATCGCCGATGGCATTGCTGTTTTTTCACCAATGAGATTATTTTGTTCATCTTTGGATGCATCATTTGTTTTTTTTTTGTGTCCCAATTCTGACCCATACCCGAATATGAGGATATCATGAGAGTCTCAATGGGAATTTCAGGATCCTAAAATGGAGGTACCTACCATATATAAGGCCTAGTGTTCAGGCCTAAATTTCAGTGAATATCACCACAAAATATGGCCAAAAATATGGTACAGTCAGTACCTCCATCTGTTGGATCCTTGTTTATTCCCATTGAATACATCACTAGATCACTAAACCACATTAACCATATATTAACCATATATTAACCATATATTAACCATATATTAACCATATATTAACCATATATTAACCATATATTAACCATATATTAACCATATATTACCATTATTAAACATTATTAACTGCAAGACTACTTTTTATACATGTGCATGGAAAGTGTGGGGAATGCCACGGAGTGTCCGAGAGTCGTTTTGATGGTGAAGCCTGGTTTTTCATGACAGACCCAACCCATGGTTGACATTGGTAACCCTGCGCATAACCACAGGAAAATGTACCGGAACTATGTATTATATACCCTCTGGTAAACATACAAAAAGCTATTGAAAATGGCCATTTAGTTCGTGGATTTACCCATTAAACATAGTGATTTTCCATAGCTATGTGAAAGTTTACCAGAGGGTAGTTCCCATGAATTTTGATCAACCGGCAGCCGGGATCTTCTCAGCAAGGTTTTTTTCAAGCCAACGTGGCTGGAGTTCCAAGTTTTGCAAAGCCATTCCCATGGTCCCCCACGGTCCCAGAAAGGAGACAAAAGGGGCACAGCAGCGGCTCGTGAAGGACTACAAACACTCACGAAGTAAAGGCTTTACGATCCATTGTTGTTGTGTAATGTTATATATATATGTATATATATATGGGGGTTTTCTAAAATAAAGGTACCCAACAAAATCCTATTGAAATGGATGATAGCTGGACCTATATAATATATATCCAGGTCATGATAGCTGGACGATTTGGTCCGTTAGTGTGTATGTTTTTTCTCCTGATTGAAAAAAAAACACCATACCCAGTTTCCAAATCTTTGCAGGGCATCACAGATTAGTCATGATAACTGTTGCATCATGTTTTTTTTTTAAAGATCGTCTGGTAATCAACATGGCAATGGAAAATCCACCATTTATGGACAATTTTCCCATTTACATGCTCATTTAGTTCGGGGATTTTCCAGCTAGCTGTGTTTGATGACCGAAGTGTATCACTATTCCTGCCATCAGTCCTGATGTTTCGCAAAGAACTATATTAACAATTTTATTACTGTAACCATAGTAACCATTATATGGTTGATATTTTTCCTAAACAAGTGATATTATCCCATTTTCTATCCCATTCACCATAAAAATCAGGATGGATCTTGCTTCCGTCAAAAGCGGTTGAGCACAAGGCCGGAGCTTTGGGACTGGGACGTGAAAAACTTGGGAAGCGAAAAACAACTTCACAGGATGGGGCCCCACAGTGATGTGATGTTTGTTGGTTTATAAACCCTGAAATTATGCCCATGAAAACTAGTTCGTGAAATACCATATATAAGCTATATCTATCATAAACCACCAGTTATAAGTTGGTTTATAAACCCTGAAATAATGCCCATGAACTACAGTAGATGGACAAATTATTCAAACCCCTATCCATGAGTTATAGGCCACGCCCTACCTCCCCCGAATTTCAATGGTATGGTTTCGTAGCGCTGTTCCTGCTCTGGGGGTTTGATTTATTTCGTCCATTCGAAGGAACGAACCAAACAAGAAAATAACATTGATATTTGGGGTGAGGGGGGTTGCTCTATGTATAAGGGTTTGAATAATTCGTCCATCTACGGTAGTTCGTGAAATATCTACCATAAACCATAGTTTATTCAGCCACTTTTCTGTTCACCAACGGTTCACGCCTTCGCTCGCTCGACTGCCAAGTTGATTCCCTGGTTATTGTTTTACCATCTGGTCATTTAACCAGAATCACCATTTTTCATAGGAAAACCATAGGAAAACCATAGGAAAATGGTGGTTTAATGGGATTTAATGGGATATACCCTCTGGTAATTTGTTACAGTTTGCTATTGAAGCCATGGCCATTGAAATAGTTGAGAAAAACCCAGCTATAAAACTAGGGTGGATTTTCCAGTTCGTTCTGTGAAAGTTTACCAGAGGTTATATCCTATTAAAATCCCATGGAAAATCCCATGAACAACCACCATTTTCCTATGGTTTTCCTATGGTTTTCCCTATGAATTAATGTGTTTTATATTGGTAAAATAAGCGTTGAACTCAAAATTACCATCCGGATTCCCTGACTTCCCTGTCTGGCCATGGTAAACCAACAGTTTGCGAACTGGAAAATTGCCATTTATAGTTGATTTACCCATTAAAAATGGTGATTTTCCATAGTTTTTTGTATGTTTACCAGAGGGTAGAAAAGGGGACAATTTTCACCATGTTTCACCTCTCATCTCTCATTTTCATTGATTTTGATGTTTAGATCATCCATAAATAGTATTCATTGGATCCATGGAGGTATTAAAACTATGGAAATCACCATTGTTAATATTCAAACACATTGTGAATAAATAGAAACTATGGATACCCTTGTTAATAACCAGTATTCAATCACATTGTCAATATTAAAACTATGGATACCCTTGTTAAATAATCTAAACTATGCAACACTAGTTTATAGAACATTTACACTTAAAACTATGCGTATTTATGCATCAACAGTTTCCATATTTATCCCATTACTTTATTCCATGATATTTCCATGAGATATCCCATGAGATATCCCAATAAACCACTATATTGGTAAAATAACACATATTCAATATAGTGACAATAAATTGGTTAACCATTTCAATAATGTGATTGAATAACCAATTGATTGGGATTTTTATATTGAAATGGTTATTTTTATATTTAAATCCCATTGAATTGGTTATTCAATCACATTGTGACCATTAAAACTATGGATACCATTGTTAAATAGAACATGTTCCAGTCCGCACAACGTTTACAGGTTCTGGCTGGTCCCTTTGCCAAGAAGTTTCCAGATGCCAAGTCTCTCGGATGAGATTTGGATGGGATGTGGAGCCGGAAGAAAAGTCTGGTGATGTTTTGCAATCCCTAATTTTTATAGAGGTATCTAGAGGTATCTAGAGGTATCTAGAGGTGTCTAGCCCATTTTTGGTGAGTTATCCAATTTTTTAGAGGTATATACCATTTTGTAATTCCTGTTAGTTATCCATTGAAACAATGATATTTTGATAAGAACTGGCGATATTTGTACAAAGAACTGGTTACAAGTTTTTTTTGGATCCCATTTTAGTAATGTGATGTTTAGTTATCTAGAGGTATCCCTAATTTTTGGACCTAGTAGTAAGCTTTTTTTAGCTCATACAAACCATTTTAAAACCAGAGCTCCTTGTTGTGACTACCCTCTGGTAATTTGTTACATAGCTATTGAAAATGGCCATCGATTTCGTGAGTTTTCCCATTAAAAATGGGTGGATCTTTCCATAGTTATGTAACAGTTTACCAGAGGGTGCTATCATTTTCACTATCGGTGGAGGGAGCGATTCGGAGGTTCCAGAGAGTTGTATGGGTAAAAGTCATCCCCAGTCGTGGTAGGTTTCTGGCATTTTTTGTGCATCCCACATACCCGGCCTGGTAAACCATAGGAAAACCATAGGAAAACCAAAGGAAAATGGTGGTTCAATGGGATTTAATGGGATATAATCTCTGGTAAACTTTCACATAACTATGGAAAGATCCACCCATTTTTAATGGGACAACTCACTATAGATTGCCATTTTCAATAGCTATGTTAAATTACCAGAGGGTATATTCAACCACTAATTTTTGGAGAGGAGGGGACTGTGGCGAAGTGATTTTTGAAAGAAAAACATCACAAAACACTCTATTTGGATTTTTTGTGGGCACATATTTCTGACCCTTGGCGAAGTAACCCAAACATTTGATATGTTTGTTTGTGGAGAAAGTTTGTGACAGGGATTGCTGTGCAGAAATGGACACCTAGCCAACCATCATCCCATGAACGGGATCCCTACCTCCAATTGGTTTGATCTTTTTTGTTTAATCCTATCCCACCGTTCATAACACCCCATTTCTATGGTACAGGATGGGGCCCCCAGTCGATAGCGTTCAGTTGGTTTCTAAGTGGCTTAACAATGGTTTATGGTAGATATACCGAACTAGTTAATGGGGATTATTTCATGGTTTATAAACCAACTTATAACTATGGGGGGGCCCATCTTGTAATAAAATGTGGAAAAAACCTTACTTTTTACCATGGTTTCGGGGGGATGGGAGTGGTGGGGCCACATTTTACTCGACCAACGTCGTGTGGCTAGTCAGGAGCACCAAGCTTTTTAGGCTCCAAAACGGTGCAGAAACGATTCAGAAACCATGAAAATTGGTTTATAAACCCCATAAACATGCATACATCATAGATATATTCATCATGAACCATAGTTAACATACGTAAGCTTTTCTGTGGATTTTTGGCAAATTTCTGCCCTTTCAATGGGAGTTGCAGAGTTCCCACATCACGTCAATGGGAATTTCAGGATATTCCATGAAATTTCGCCCTCAAAAATAGGCCTAACAAAATGCTAGGTACCTCCAATAAATCGGTCCCTGAAATGATCATTGATTAAATGTGATTTATGGTGATTCTAACTATAGTTCATTCACGAAAAAAGTTGATTGACGATTTAGGCGATTTACAGTAGATTACTGTAAATGTTCCTTTATGGTACTTAATGATATTTAATGATGAACGTCACGTTGCCAAGGTTTTACGTTGCTCCTGGACAATTTTCGGTGCCACTTGTGCCAGCCTCAGAAGTGTCGGAGGTTCCGGGTGCCCCCCCTAGGCTGGTAGGTTGAAATCCTGGGCGACCAAGTTCAACCCCAACTTGCCAGAAGCCTAGGCAGATTTGCTCTTCACGATGGACCATGAGTTCTAGTGTATTAACCAATGTTAACCAATATGCCATGATCACAGAAAATATCCCATAGGTCTCCCCATAGCCATGTTTTCCCCGATGGATTGCAATTCATCTACCTGCCGGTCGACCAGAAGTGAAATGCCATAGGTCGACCGGCCCCCAGTCGAGCGATAGCTTTCAGTTGGTTTATAAGTGGCTGAATTCTATGGTTTATGGTGGATATAACGAGCTAGTTAACTAGTTCATGGGGATTATTTCATGGTTTTTAAACCAACTTATAACTGGGGGGCCCATCCTGTACTACTCCCATGTTTGATGGGATCAAATTCACGTGCCAAATCCTATACCAGATACAATGATATAACATGATTAATATAACCATTGATTTCCCATGCTGTTTTCCTCCAAGTCCAACAATCCCAAGCAGCTCATCTCAACTCATATCCCCATGGGTTTTTCCAATGAACATGCCAAGTTATACATGATTTTCCATTGATTTCCCATGTATTTTTTCCCCCATCCCTATGAACTCACCATCAGACTCCTATTTTTCCCATATTAACCCATAATTTTCCCATATTTTTCCCAGATTTTCCCATGTTTTTTCCCTATTAACCCAAGTGAGTCACGTGTTTGCTCCTAGGACTTGCCACTGAGTGTCTTGGGCTTCCCGGACTTTGAGGCCGGGGATTTTACCAGTGAAAGTCTTCAATAATTATGATATAGTATGAGAAAATACAATACAGAAAAATACATCTACAATTACAGTATATAATTGTATATATATATATTATAATAGATATATAAGATATCTTTATGATATATTATACTTATGATATAATATGATATAATATAATACAGTACAATGCATCTATAATTGTATATATATAGTTATATGCACCAGGTCCACATATGAAAGATGCCGAACATATCTTGGACACCTGGAAATATGAGATAGATATCATCTGATTTCCAATCTTGAATTGGGATAATGGCCTGACTTTCCCGGAACAGCCTTGGCAAGTCAAGAAGTTCAAGTGCTCATGTCTATTAATCTCATTTTATTAGACGAATTTAGTATCAATCTAGCCATCTAAATGCTATTGTATTGGTTGATCAACATCTAAATTCACTTTATTTAGATACCCTCTGGTAAACTAACAGAGCTATTGAAAATGGCCATTTATAGTTAATTGTCCTATCAAAAATGGTGATTTCCCATAGTTACGTTAGTTTACCAGAGGGTACATGTTGTGTCCAATTGATATCTAAAATTCACCAGGTATCCAACCAGCATGGACATTCACTATCGAAAAAGTATTCCATTGGGACGCGTGGATTATACATTGGGTACGTATCAACTGGATACTATCTATACCAAACCAAACGACTATTTATAATTATGCTTGATACATCTAGATACTATTTATATGTGTCCGTGAATAATTATTCATAATTATTCACATATACTGAATACTAATACCATTCCGAAATGTGGGGTAAAATTTGCATCCTCCAATTGTTATGATCACATGATCACCCTGCGAACTATAGACTATAGTAATAGTTGCAATCATATAGTATTATTATAATACTAATCCTAACTTCATTATAATACTATATAAATATAGTTACATAGTTAGTCATATAGTTAGTTCATTATAGAGTTGGTTATATCATAATATTACTATATTGCACACAGTTAGGTATATTGTGAGTCAATTGACTACATAATTAAATGATACATTTAACGTCTATATCTCTATAGTTATTTCGTCACCATATAGCATTGATATGATATACCGACGATATATATATATAAATGTAATACACATTATATACCTTATGGTAATTTAACGTAGCTATGGACAATCACCTTTTTCAGAACGGTAAATCATCATACATCACATCATACATAGTCTATAAACGGGTGATTTTTCATAGCTCAAAATAATTTCACCAACCTACCCTCTGGTAAACTAACATAACTATGGAAAATCACCATTTTTAATGGGAAAACTCACTATAAATGGCCATTTTCAATAGCTATTTTGACATAACCAGAGGGTAAACTAATCTTGTGTTCCGCCAGCCCTGGGGTTCTCCGATGGCTTCTCCGATGGCTTCCGCTGTGTTTTTTTTGACGTTGCCGCTGTCTTGGCTAGCGGTGGTGGTAGCGACTTCACAGGAAAACGCAAATTTGGAGATCTCATTATCTCTTGTTTCTCTGAGACGTTGGGTTGAACTCCTAGATGATGCTACGCTGCTGCACGCTCACATCATGTAGCCTCGTTCGTTTGAAATATTATTGTCACCAAATCACCATACTTGAAACTATAGTTTTATTAATAAGATAAATTTCTGTATATACCAAACACGAACCATACGATATAATGATAGCGAAATCGATGAGGACATGAATTAATAAACATATATATATATATATATGTACATAAAATGACATTAATATAATCGGATACTAATAATATTTACGGATCAATGATAGTGTTTTACTACGTGCAAATTTACACTACTGATCTAAGGTATTGTATATTATATTATATGATAGTTTCATCTCAATATTTATTTACTATATACTACACTATTATAATATATATATATACTAGATTGCAATATACTATATGTATATCTCAACTGTGATACCAGATATAAATAGATACTATATAGATACTATATGTATATAGATACTATATGTATATAGATACTATATGTATATAGATACTATATGTATATAGATACTATATGTATATAGATACTATATGTATATAGATACTATATGTATACTATTATTATACTACACTATTAATGCCAACATAATATAACTATCAGTGATATGATATTATTATAACATAATATACTATATAGATATATTCTCAACTATATCAACTAATACAACTATCATGATACTATATGTATATTATTATTATATTAACTATATGACACTAATACAACTAATACAACTATCAACTATATAGATACTATATGTATACTATTATTATACCAGTGATTGTTTTCTCAACTCCCCAGATTTTTGGAGCCAGGTCTTGGACCCTGAGCGCTTGGAGGATCTGCCCTGGAACGAGGATTGCCTCACGGCCTACGTGCCGCGGCTGCGCCACTGCGCCGGGATGGCCGTGGAGTCACCTTATTTCAGGTTAGTGAAGTATTATAATTTACCCATATATATATATATATAGGTTTATAAGTGGCTGAATTCTATGGTTTATGGTAGATATAACGAACTAGATAACTATATGGTATTCATGGGGTTTATAAACCAACGTTCACATCACTGGGGGGGCCCATCCTGTTGGGTCATTAAATCCCAAGAAACCACTATATTCCATAGCTGTTTGGATCCCATTAAATCCCATTAAACCACCATTTTATACATCATATACAGGACACTCTCATTGTATTATCGGTTTCATTTTGTGTCAGGTGGACGCCGCCACCTTCGGAGAAGTGGCGTTGCTTCACAAGAGTTCCATGGCTTCGACGGCTTGGGACGAACGACGGAATTTCTTTGGGAAATCTGGGGAAAAACCATGGGAGACATGGGGAAAACATGGGGAAAACATGGGAAAAACATGGGAAAAACATGGGGAAATCATGGGAAAAACATTGGGAAATTATTGGAGAATGGGAAATCAATGGGAAAAACAATAGAAATGTTCAGGAGAAAATCATTGGGAAGATGAACAAAAAACGTAGGGAGATCAATGGAACAACCGATTGGAGAATGGCGAGTTTAATAGATCCATGGACAATGGGAAATTAACCAGGAAAAATGATTAGTTAATGGAATAGTCATGGGATTGTTTCAAATCCATTGTCAAAGAATCCCAGCTATTTAGGTGTGATAACCAGATTGCCAGGTAGAAGGAAACACATCTTCATATCAAATCATATCTCACAATATCCGAGACCATATCCTTACTGTATGTCCCCGTTGTCATGTTTCTTTTTCATGTTATGTATCCTCCTTATATATATCCCAGTTGATGATCAGATTCAGATGTTGCATGGGGGGGTATACACCAATTTCAGACACTGCTCAGACTTTTGGTGAAAAACTGGAGGGTTCCTTTGAAAAAAATATAGGGATACCATTATTAGCCACTATTAACCACTATTAACCACTATTAAATCACCCCAATTTTCTCATCCAAATTTTTTCACATCTTCGAATCGGTGACGGATCCCCGGGATCCGCCCCAGTCATTGAAACCTGCAGCCATTTGGTCAGCTGCTGGTAGAAGTGGCTGCTGTGAAGTGGCCAGTCATTGCATGGTAACAGATGGCCCAAAGGATCTTCAAGGTTTGATTTTTGGGTGTGATAGAGAACTTTTTGATAGATACTTTAAGATACTCTTAGATACTTCAAGTTTTTTTTTCACAAAAAAGCAATGTTGTACCCGCCTATTTAGCTCAGTCAGTTTGTGTGTATCTTTCACTACTGGGTATATGGTAGAAATTGTTTGTTGTCTGGTGGGTGAAAATCAGCAGACAAGCACATGCAATGAAATATGAGAAATCACAAGGTTCTATTCATATATTAGAATATATTAGAATTTGCCCAACAAACATATGTTCTAAATATTTCAAATTTACCCCAAATCAAATTCTAATATAGGTTCTAAATATGAGATTTCAACATATATTGGAATTTGCCCAACAAACACAACTGGGGGTACACGCCCATCTCTACACGCAACAGTTATTATAGCCAATCTTACCTATGTTTCCATGATTAAATGCCCTAGTTGGTGGTTTCATTTTGGGGTACCTCCATTTATATATGAACCATGAAATAAACCCCAATAACTAGTTGGTTATATCATTATATCTACCATAAATCATACTTTATTCAGCCACTTTTAAAATAGAAACCCCATTTTGGGGTACCTCCATGACTATGGAAACCCTCATATCATGCTTATGAACCATTATTAGCCATTAGTAACCACTATTAATCACTATTAACCACTATTAACCACTATTAAATCACTATTAAATCACTATTAACCATGGTTTTTTCACCAACCAGTTGGGAATCACCACTATTAAACCCTCATCTACTTGCGGAGCGAATCCGACCGTGACGCTGTCGTCCCCTTTTGGCGGAGCTGTCATGGCACACTCCGCGGCTGGGCTCGAAATTTCAGCAGCGGAATCCCAATAAATAGACTCTCTCTCTCTCTATATATATATACATATACATATATATATATATATATATATTCTACTGTACATATATCTATATCTATATCTATATCTAATATCTAATATCTATATCTATATATCTATATCTATATCTATATCTATATGTACATGCACTACACAATAACAATACGCATGTCCTGTGTCAACCTTGACGACTTCGGGCCTTGGAAGACGAGGGATGGACATCCTATGGCTAATCGAGGTGCTTGAAGCCCCAAATTAAATGCTTGCTGCCTACTACAAGTTTGTTTATCATTAGGTGAATTCTATGGTTTATCGTAGATATACATACATACATGCATGCATGCATGCATGCATGCATGCATGCATGCATGCATGCATACATACATACATATATATATACGGTATATATGTATACACACTTAATGGGGTTATGGGGTTTATAAGCCAAGTTATAACTAGGAAGCCCCACCATGTATATATTCACTTTCATTGCAGACATACACAATGTTGGTTGTAAAACAAATGCCCGATAATATGTGTAACAAGTTTCTTTTGGCAGTATTTGGTTATAATGAACTCCCAATGATGGTAGTTGCTCATCCTTGCCCGATAATATACCCAGCACTGTCAATGCTTGGGTTAGGTGCTGTCAGATTCCTATAGGTTGGGCAGTCCAGCTGGTACAACTGGTACCACTAAACCGCCATATGCCGGGGGATATTCCCTGAAAAACAGACCTTGCCTGTGACATACACTGGACACACGGTGGCTCCTCCAATTTCTTTGGTGCCTGAAATACCCTCTGGTTATTTAACATAGCCATGGTATAGATGGCCCATTTATAGATGGTTTACCTGGGTTTACCTATTAATAGCATGGTGATTTTCCATGGCAAACTGTTAGTCATAACCAGGTTGGGTACGTCATAATGATTTGGTGCGCTGGGATGTGCATCCTCACATTTTGCCGGGAGATTTTTGCGCGAAAGAAATTCTCTATCGAATCCCATATTTACTGCTTGGTGAACAGTAAATCTCCAATATGTAAATCATTATCTCATTATGGATTATCATTATGGATTATGGGATTTATGTATTGGAGATTATGATAAATCCATAATAATCCAAATGTACTGTTGTATCTCATTATGGATTATCATAGTCTCCAATATGTAAATCTGTTAGTACAACCTTCTAAAATAACCTATCAATGATCATTTATCAATGATATCCACAGGTGTTACTTTTATGCAATCGGATATTGCCAATGGTCTTTTTAATGGCTCAAATGGAACCATTTGGTTCAGCTGATATCAGACAAAATGAGTGAGTGGATTTTCCAGCAAGCCATGTTTGATGTGGTTAAACCCACCAACCAGATTTCATTTTCAGGTACCATCTGGTAGCATGGTAGTGGAACATCCCCTTTAGACGATTTTCCCAGCGAACTAAACTTCCATGGATCGTTCGGGGATTTCCCGTCGCCAGCTGGCGGAAATTGAGCTTCCACCAGAGGGTACCTTTCCACCAGTTTTCCATGAAGAGTCTATTTAGATACCGTTCACAAAGCAATTTTCATTGGTCAAATCATCATTTTCACTGTTTCAATCTCCATTTTTATTGGTAAAATCCACATGTTTTATGGGTTAAACCAGCATTTTCATTAGTAAAACCTCTATGTTTAGTGGTAAAACCACCATTTTTATTGGTAAAATGTGGTACCCTCTGGTAATTTGTTACATAGCTATTGAAAATTGCCATAGAAATAGTGGATTTACCCATTAAAAATAGTGATTTTCCATAGCTATGTTAGTTTACCAGAGGGTACTTTTTCCAACCTACGGATGACTCGACTCACGGATCACGACCTAGCCTAGGTCGTGCCCATGAGAAGTCGAAGTCGTGATGAGAGGAGGTGCAGGGCTACGAATTGCTCCCCTGCAATTCGTCCCATGAAATAGTGCTTGGTTGATTAATAGTGGTTAATAGTGGTTAATATGGAAAATATGGTGATTTATTGGAAATATATGGGAAATATGGTGATTTATGGATGTTTACCCTCTGGTAAACTAACATAGCTATGGAAAATCACTATTTTTAATTGGTAAATCCACTATTTCTATGGCAATTTTCAATAGCTATGTTAAATTACCAGAGGGTACGCATAGTTGATATTATCCTGGGAGCGTAGCAATTGCAGGGTATTAAAAAGTGCGTAATTGTAGCAATACCAAAAATCTCGATTCTACTTGACATTATAGTCATTTGATAGCACTGAAGGGTAGCAATAGTTATCAACCATTATGAGTCATTAATACCCTCCAGTGCCAGCATTATATCCATATTATAATACTACTATTAATCATAATTTATGAAATAAAATACCCTCCGGTAAATTGACATTTCGACCTTGGCAGATAGGGGTTGGAAGATTCGTTTCCACTAAACATGGTGAATATTTCCAGGGTCGAACTTTTAATTTACCAGAGGGTTTTTACATAACTCCAACATAACTCGTACTTGTGGTAGATATATCTATACTTAATAGGCTGATAAACCAACAGATATTTTTTTGGGTCACCACCTCTTAGGTATTACATGGTATTTCCTCACAACATGGCTTAGTTCATAATCCCTCAGGAAACCAAGCTGAGAGAAGACTGGGATGATACACTCCACAAGACAGTGGTGTTATGGGAGTTAATCATCAACCATGGCGATTCCTTTGATGGGGATAATTGGATTATATCACCATCAGCAATGAGGATTGACCAATTCCCCCATCATATATATAATATATATATAGATGTATATATATATAGACATGATTTGAGGATTGACTATATGATTTGGGTTTGTCTCAACGTGTTGAGAACGTCACTTAAAAAGATAGTTAAAGCATCATGGTACCCAAACAGCTCCAGTGCAGCTGGAATATCCCCTATAAATGGAGGTTTTCCATGGGAACATCATCTACCCTCTGGTAAACTGTTACATAACTATGGAAAATCATAATTTTTAATGGGAAAACTCACTATTTCTATGGCCATTTTCAATAGCTATGTTAAATTACCAGAGGGTATAAATGGTGGATTTTCCATTGTTTGATTACTGGAGGGTCGATTTTTGACCCACACATCTCACTGATTCCATAGATCGGTGCTTTGTGAATGGGCTTTTATCCCCAAACCGTTTGCTTCTTGGACATGGTGCTGGTATTCCCACTACATAGTTGACATCGTTGCCCATGGCTCTCACCATGACCCGAATCACTTCAAAAAAAAAGAAATTTCGATTGCTTTTTTCCCCATTTTGGTTGGTGAAACCATCCTCTTTTATATATACACTTGACGTGTTGTGATGCCCAAGCATTATTTTCAGCCTTGTTCGGTACAGGGTGGGGCCCCAGTTCGGAATCGCTAAGTTGGTGAACATAACTATAATAACAAGTTGGTGTATGATACGCAAATAACTATATTTAGATGGGGTTTTCTCAACCAACAAACATAACTAGGGGGCCCCATCCTGTAGGTTGTATTCCCATTTTGAGAAACTTTTTTTTTTGACCATTTTCAGCGGGATTGGCCGATGAAACGGTTTGCGGTTTAACCTCCAGGACTCTCTGGTAGGCTAGCAGTTTGCGAACTGGAAAATGAACCATTGATACCCTCTGAGAAATATATGCAAAATATTCTTATTTATTGAACATATATGGGAAATATGGTGATTTATGGATGTTTACCCTCTGGTAAACGTTTACAGTTTGCGAACTGGAAAATAACCATAGAAATAGTTTATTTACCCAGCTATAAAATAGAGATTTTCAATAGTTATGTTACAGATATGTTAGTTTAATCACCATTTTTAATGGGTAAATCAACTATAAACGTTTACCAGGTTGGGTAGTTGATTTATCCATAAAACCTTGGTGATTTTCCTTGTGATATATTTTTCAAATCTATGATTATGATGAGGATTATTGTTATTATGATATTTTATTTATCTTTATTGTTACCACTTTTTTTTTGTCAACTTGTCTTTATCAGGATAGTTTTTTTTGGTCAACTATCTTTACAAGTTTTTAAATTTGCAGTGTCCATGTCTCATGTGCAAGTCGTTCTCATGATCCCACCCGACAGGCGGAGCTTTTTGGGCCACGAAGTCGTGCCTCGACTTGGAAATCGTGCCCTGGAACATCCGTGGGTTGCCATGAATTTATGGGGATTTATGGCATAATACTTCTGGCCGATGTGTTTGGGGTTTATGGAGATTTGTGGGGATTCAGGGGGATTTGACAGACAAATATGAGGATATGATATGAAAAAATAAAATATTATATACATATAATTATATATATATATATGACACATATGCACAACAAGATTCCGGCTGATTTTTGGGGCTATAATATTGGGATAGATTCCCTGCAGCAGGGATTTCACCCCCATGAACATGTATATGCAGCGGGGTATGCAGCGGAGGCAGGCCTCGTGGGGTCGCTTGAATGGTCGCTTGAATGTGATCTCGAACAACGTGAAAATCACGTGGTAAATATAGACCATGGGAAAACCATGGGAAAACCATAGGAAAACCATAGGAAAACCATAGGAAAACCATAGGAAAACCATAGGAAAATGGTGGTTTAATGGGATTCAATGGGATTTAATGGGGTATACCCTCTGGTTATTTAACATAGCCAGGGAAAATGGCATGTTTATAGATGGTTTGGTTTACCTATAAAGAATGATGCTTTTCCATGGCAAACTGTTAAATATGAAATTGGGTATAGCCCTAGACATGGGAGAATGTCAAATGACCCCCATGGTTGGTGAATGGGACGGTTTGTGGCATTCTTGGGCAGTTCCAGATATAAGTGGATATACTACCATTGTTATAGAGGTTACCCTCTGGTAAACTAACAGTTTGCGAACTGGAACATGGCAATATATAGTGAGGGGCTTCCCATTAAAAATGGTGATTTTCCATAGTTATGTAACAGTTTACCAGAGGTTATATCCCATAAAATCCCATTAAATCCCATTAAACAACCATTTTCCTATGGTTTCCCTATGGTTTCCCTATGGTTTTCCTATGGTTTTCCTATGGTTTTCCTATGGTTTACCAGAGGTTCTATCCCAAGTATTAGGGGGCTTTGTACCTCAACTGCACCCAACTTAGTTTTCGGTGAATTCCAGTCTCTCTGGGGGCGTAAGCGCTCCAAAAGGCCCACATCATAGCCGTAGTATACCATCATTAATAATGGTAATATATGGTTAATATATGGTTAATGTGATTTAGTGATCTAGTGATGTACAATGTGAGGCCCCCAGTCGATAGCGTTCAGTTGGTTCACATAACTCCAATTTCACTATGGTTTATGGTATTTATAACGAACTAGTTACTGGGGCGAATCTAAACCAACTTATAACTGCGGGGCCTCACATTGATAGATTGATTTTCCAATTGTTCCAATGGGTTTACCATGATCCATGTTTTTCCCATGTTTTTCCCATGATTTTCCCATATTTTTCCAATCCCCAAACATGGCCAGTTGGCTAAGCTCCGGCTCCTTCCAAGCTCAGGAGACCAGTGCGAGCCGAAAGCTCGTTGAGCGCGCAGGCGAATCGTCAGGAGTTGTGACGATCCATGGATGGATGGATGGAACCGATGGTGATTTTTGATGGGATTTGATGGAAGTTTACCATAGGAAAACCATAGGAAAACCATAGGAAAACCATAGGAAAATGGTGGTTTACTGGAACTTAATGGGATTTAGTGGGATTTAGTGGGATTTGATGGGATTTAGTGGGACTTTAGTGGAATTCAATGGTGATTTGATGGGACTTTAGTGGTGATTTAATGGTGATTAAAAAATTGTTTTTTTCCTAATTACTTTACTTCGTGTGATCCCCACCATGACATTTATACATTTTCTTACTGGCAAATCTTCTGGCATTCTATCTGACATATCTTCTGACATTCTATTTGACATTCTATCTGGCATATCTTCTGGCATATGATCTGGCATATCTTCTGGCATATCTTCTGGCATTCTATCTGGCAAATCTTCTGGCATTCTATCTGGCATATCTTTTGGCACTCTATCTGACATATCTTCTGGCATTCTATCTGGCATATCTTCTGGCATATATTCTGACATATCTTCTGGCATTCTATCTGACATATCTTCTGGCATATATTCTGACATATCTTCTGGCATATCTTCTGGCATATCTTCTGGCATATCTTCTTACATTTCTATCTGGCATATCTTCTGGCATATTTTCTGGCATTCTATCTGGCAAATCTTCTGGCATTCTATCTGGCATTCTATCTGGCATATTTTCTGGCATATTATCTGGCATTCTATCTGGCATATCTTCTGGCATATATTCTGACATATCTTCTGGCATTCTATCTGGCATTCTATCTGGCATATCTTCTGACATTCTTTCTAACTTTCTTCTGCACATTCTTTGTCCCATATCTTCCTACATGAGGTCCGGCAGGGAACACTTGGCGTGGATCCTCGCGGTTGAGGTCCGGCAGGGAACACTGGGCGTGGATGGTCGTGGTTGAGGTCCGGCAGGGAACACTGGGCGTGGATGGTCGTGGTTGAGGTCCGGCAGGGAACACTGGGCGGGGATGGTCGTGGTTGAGGTCCGGCAGGGAACACTGGGCGTGGGTGGTCGTGGTTGAGGTCCGGCAGAGAACACTGTGGATCGCGGGTCGCAGTTGAGCAAGGACGACGAGGACGACGAGGACGACGAGGAGGACGAGGAGGACGAGGAGGAGGAGGAGGAGAGGAGGACGAGGCAGGAGGAGGCGGAGGAGGAGGAGGAGAAGGAGGAGGAGGAGGAGAAGGAGGAGGAGGCAACTGACATAAAATCTAACAACCCTCACCTGGCAGGTGGGGAACAACAATGGGGATAGAATAGGTTCTTAATGGTTATTCAACCAAGCATAATCGGAATTCAATGTTTTTTTGGGGAATTCAAAAAATGGGATGTAATAGAATCTTGCTAGAATATTGATGTTCGTGCCTACTTAATGGTGCAGTTGAGGTTACAAATTTGTAGTGGGTACAACCCCTCACAAGTTGGGAGATAGCCTCCAAAAGCTATGGTAGGATATCCACTTTTTTTCTGGAACTGCACTCCCAAGGTCCATGGTGGTGCCCCACCCCCTTTTTTGTCCATTCTAAAAGAGAACATGATCACAACGCCACGCTTTTTTTCGGGGGGTAGCCATTTACTTATGGAATATACATGGGATTATATGGAATAATATGGCATAATACGGAATAATATGGACATATTATGGAATAATATGGAATACTATGGAATATTGATTCTATAGAAGGTGGTGCCTCATAGTTAGCAAAGTTGGTGAACAGAACTTCATTTTCACTAGGGTTTATGGTAGAAATATCTATATTAATGAGAATTATAAACCAACTTATATCTGGGGTGGGGCACCGCTTGTATGATATAGAATATAAATGGGATATTATATGAGTTGTCATTGGATATAATTAATGGAATATTACATAATTGGATGAACGGGATATGAACTTCCCAGAATAGGGATACAAACATTGCTTAAAAGTTTTTTTTTTAATGCAAGGTGAGGCCCCCATGTATAAGTTGGTGTATAGCCTCATCTAACCAGTTTGTTATATCTCCCTAATCAATCCAAACATTATTGTAGTTATGTTCACCAACTTAGCTATCATAAATCAGCAAACTACCTCTGGTAAATTAACATAGACCCTGAAAATAGCCTAGTTTTAATGGAAGCTAATCTTCCAACCCCGATGACTGCCAGGGTCGAACTGTTAATTTACCAGAGGGTAAATCCCATTAGATCCCATTCAATCACCATTGAATTCCATTAAAGTCTCACTAAATCCCATTAAATCCCATTAAATCCCATTAAGTTCCAGTAAACCACCATTTTCCTATGATTTTCCTATGGTTTTCCTATGGTTTTCTTCCATTAAACCACCATTTTTGGTTGGATAAGTTACCATTTTCCGACTCCAACTGTTGCGATTCCATCGAACCTCCAGCGACTTTCAGGGTCGATGGGCTATGGCATTGGTGACAGGATTTTCGACGACGAGGTCCGCTAAAAAAACCGGGCGGGGCATGGCAGGCGATTCTAAATTGGCTTATAAACCCCATGAAACCATAGGACAACCATAGGAAAACCATGGGAAAACCATAGGAAAATGGTGGTTTAATGGGATTTAATGGGATTTAATGGGGTATACCCTCTGGTTATTTGTTACATAGCCATGGAAGCCATGGCCCATAGAAATAGATGGTTTACCTGGGCTTACCTATTAAAAATGGTGATTTTCCATGGCTATGTTAAATAACCAGATGGTATCTATCGCAGATAAATCTATGGTTTATGGTAGATATAACGAACTAGATAACTATGTTTGGTAGTTATCTAGTTCGTGAAATATCTACCATAAACCATAGAATTCAGCCACTTTTTTAGTTTCGTCAGCAGGAGAAGAAAATGAGCAACAATGGGGCGGAAAATCTTCAGCCGTGGAGATTTTGTTGGGAAAATATGATACGGTTGGTGGTGCCCCAGTTCGTTAGCTAATAAGTTGGGGCTTACATAACTCCAATTTCATTCTGGTTTATGGTAGACCTATAGTTGATGGGGTTATAAACCAACTTATAACTGGAGGGGCACCACCTTGTAGGGACAAAAACAACAACAGCAACGAGGGTTGTTTGAGCCAAAAAAAGGTCTTTTCGCGAGCAAACTCTGCGATTTAAGCTAGGAAGGACATTTCTACCAAGTCAAATAATCAAATAATCGCAGAGTTGGTAGAAATGATAATTATTTGATTATTTGACTATCAAGAACGATTTCCGTTCTTATTCTTACACTGTGGGCTTATCTTTTTATTGCTTATTATGTGAACAGAATTTGTTGGTTACACCCACAAATTTTATGACTATTGCCAGTCAGAACCATATTTTTTTTGTCATGACAATTCTTGTTGATTGAATCTCGACTAGTTTGATAAACACCGATGATTGCTGATTACATGACTAATGATCATGTTCACTGGTCGTATCCGAATTCTTGCCAGTGAGATGTCTATTTTAAAAGTTGCTTAAATTGGCAATATGTCAATCTGTCTCTTTTTTTGCTGGTCAAATAGTGTCATTTTTTGCTGGTGAAATCTTCGATATTTCAATCCGCGTTTCCTGATGGCTAAATCTGGCTAAATCCCTCCAGAAGTGCCGTGTGATGGTTTCCAGCCTGGAACTTCCAGGTTAGGTCCCGAAGTTCAACACCAGGACAGGGGGCGAGAGCTCAGTGTTTCTGCGTACGATGAGAGAACGAAATATCGATAGACATTCATGGGAATCCTGGGGATTTTCAAAGAGATTCTCCAAAAATGAGGTGATTCAAAGAATAGTTGATAATCCAAAAACAGTTGATTAGAGATTCTTTGAAGTTGACAATATTCTGGGGATTTTCCCATCTGATTCAAAGAACAGTTGATTCTTTGAAGTTTCCATATTCTCCAGACAACATAACCATGGGAGGGTGTTTCCGGTCCATTTTCCCCCGAAGATGCATTCCAATGGCTTGTTCTTTCCTGGCCCCCTGAAGAAAAGTCAAAACCACTTGAATAGGAGGATGACTTGATGATATTTTTGCTATTTGCTATATTTATTTCATCCCCCCTATGTCTCTTTGAGAAATCCAGATTTTTCCTCATAAAATCAATGGAATTTTCAGAATTCTAAAATGGGGGTATATGGGGGTACGTAAACGTACCATATTTTTGGCCATATTTTCTGTGTATACCATATAAATCACCATATATTTCCCATATCTTTCCAATAAACCCACCATATTTTCTGGGGATATCTCCAATTTAGGTTCCTGAAATTCCCATCGATCAAATCCCCGGACTTTTTCGCTTGGTAGCCTTGGCACTTCCGCCTGTTCCAGGCTCCTTGGGTCCTGAAAAAGATGCCATGGAGGGCGGCGTTGCAGCTCTTCTGGGCCTGGAGAACGAGGAGTTTTTCGCGTTTTTTGTGCGGTTGGATCACTTCGATAGTGATTGTCCATGGAAAATTCGAGAAAATTCCACCAATGTTAATGATAACCATGGGATTTAATGGCTTTTAATGGTTCTTAATGGACATCTCATAGAATATTTCCCACTTCATGGGAGTTTGATAGCATTGAGCCATATTTTAATGGTGGTTTTAATGGGATCCTAATGGGATTTTACTGGGATTTAACAATCAACAACCGTTGGTGTCTGAACATGTTCATGGGAATTCAGAGGATTTTTAGTGGGATTTGCTGGATTGAATGACCAACCATGGGTTACCCTCTGGTAATTTAACGGTTAGCTATTGAAAATGGCCATTTATAGTGAGTTTTCCCATTAAAAATGGTGATTTTCTATAGCTATGTTAGTTTACCAGAGGGTTAGTTTTTGTTTTTGATGATCAACTAGTGGCTTCTTGGGATTTCAATGTGATTTTCCATGGAATATGTCAATTGCATTTCATACAGGGTGGGCCCCCATAGTTAGCTAAGTTGGTTTATAACTATAATAACAATAGTGTATTCTGTATGATACTTATGATTATATTTAGATGGGCTTTTCTCAACCAACAAACATAACTAGGGGGCCCCATCCTGTAGGGTTTTTTCTGGGATTTCAAGGGGGTTTTATATCAGTCTATCGGATCACAAATTAGAGACCTAAGGGACCACAGATTCAAGTCCAATTGTGATTATTATACGTATATTATTAAATACTACTATTATTGTTAATAGTATTTATATTATTATTATTATTATTATATTTATCCATAGTATTTATCAAACCCATATTTATCGTATTTATGATCCATCCTTTCATGGACCATGGTGGGACCAAATTGCTGGTGCTAAACGTAGTTGCTGGATGGGTTGCTGGGGGTTGCTGGGATGATGAAATTACTATCAATGGATTGGTTTAAGGGACAATTTACAGGAAAACCCCATATTTAATGGGAAAATCTATGGTTTCCTGTAGATTTTCCCTTAAACCAATCCATTGATACTAGTGATGAAATGGATCATTCCCGAAAATTCCCTACGTAAAACGCACCAGTAAGTAATGAGAAATGACCAAATTTTGAAATGAACATATTTTGAAATGTAATTGAAATGGATTTTGAAATAGACCATATTGAAATAGACCATAGTTTGAAATCCAATGTGCTTTTTTCTGCCAACAGTTGAGCAGTTTTGAAAAGAATATGTTGTGATTCTAAGTATCAATGTGAATTGGGGTTCAGGGGTTTAACTTTTGAAGATATGCTGATGATTTGATTGAACAAAAACACATGGGATTTGCATGTTTTTAGCCATTGACTATAGGGGTTTCAAGAGGTTTAATGGGATTCTCATGGATCAAACCCTATGAATAATGAGATAACCATGTCTCAACTGGTGCGGGATTTCTTCCATTCACAGTATTATCCCTTACTTTTGGATTCTTATTCTTCTATTGCTATTACTATTTCTGTCAACCCTTGAAACCCCTATAGTCAATTGCTATTACTCCTGGATTTGCATAGTACCCCTTATTACTATTCCCATTATCCCCATAATCCCAGATTATATTCTTGTAGAACATCAGCATTGCAGGTAAATTATCATAGATTATCGAACTACATAGGCAATTTCCATAGTTTATACTATATATATAGATATCTTAGTTTACCAGAGAAAAAACACTCGTATCTCTATAGTGTCGTAAACCGAACAAACCATCTCCAAAATCACTATTTTTATTGGTGATATGGAACATCACCATTTCTACGATGTAAATCAACGAACTTTCTATGGCCATGGCTTCAATAGCAAAGTGTAACAAATTACCATTTGGGGTAAATTTCCATCACTAATCACCAATAAATTCTCATTAATCACCATTAAATTCCATTAATCACCATTAAATTCCATTAATCACCATTTTTGCTAGAGTTAAATCACCATTTCTGTTGGTTAAATCACAATTTTTGCTAGTTAAATCCCAATTTTTGCTAGTTAAATCCCCATTTCTGTCGGTTAAATCACCACAAAAATCACTAGTAAAATTTCCAGAGGTGATCTCCCTCTTCCCTGGGGCCCCCTGGAGGACAACCTTCAGCTTCAACGTCTGCATTGAAGCCATGGCTCAGCGACCTTCACATGCCTTGGGGTTTCTCGGTTTGATCACTGAAAGGCTCCATTTTTTGGACCCTTTTTTGTTGCATAAAATGGGTAGTTATGCATTAAAAAATAACATGTTGCTAGGTCATCACTCATTTTTGATGCTTAAAACTTGTTGGTTCTAACTTACAACTGCATTTCATCACTTGGAAAACATGTTGATGGCTTTTAAACTGCGAAAATCTATCAAAAACCCTTGATTCAAGCATATTCAAGCATGATCTTCCGAAACTCCCAGTTCAAACTTCACGGCACAGGCTTCAAACAATCTCAGATTTGTCCCCAATTTTCTCTGGGGTCAACCCCCAACGCAGCCGCCGTGCCGGGTGCGTTCCGAGGCTTCTGCGACACCTGCGGCAGCAGGGGCTGCAGTGTGACAGCGCCACCTGGGGCGGTTGCATCTTCGCCACCCGGAAGAGTTGGCGCAGGGCCTTGGGGCTTCTGACCCAGCTGAGGCGCCCATTACGTGAAGCGAAAGACTTCAGGGGGGAGAAATTTGCTTCATATGAAGCTTGGGAAGTGAAAAAAGATGGAGGGATTTTCTGATAGCTGCTGGATTTCAGGTGCATATATATATATATAATTATATATATATATATATCTGAAGGATTTATCTAAGAGATTCTGGGGATGATTTGGGTCAGAAGATTTCATAGGGCCCAGCAGACATAGGCATTTTATAAGTCCTCATTGATGGTCGCTCTTGGTTGAAATCACATAGTTTTTGTGGTAGCAATCCGCATGTTTACCCCAAAGATTGATATGGTACAAACTCCCATACTGCTATATCCCTCAGTATATCCCATCAGCCATCCCATGAACTAGCCATCCAACAATTCATCATTCAATATATCTATATCATTCTATATCTATCCCATGTATCCGTACATAGCAACCCCAAAGAAGCTGCAACGAAGTAACATCGTATCACTATTTAAATATTGAGTTTAGAGCTTCGACCAAATTCTCTCGATTTGGGGGGTTGCCCTATAAGAAAATATAATCCCATGCATATACAATGCATATGTAATTATATATAATTTCACATAATTATATATAATTTCATATAATTATATATATATATCATACACACACATATGTATATATATATACACACGTATATATAAACATATCCCATATATTCTTCCCCGTAAATCTCCCAACCACCCATGGCACCCATGGCATCCATGGCATGTCATCGGCGCAGCACCAGGCGGCAACTGCGCTGGGAACTGGATCAACACATGGCCGCTTCCGGATCTGTCCGCTCGGCGTTCCCTGATCTTCACAGCCCCTTGGTTTCCGGAGGAAAACCATGGGAAAACCATAGGAAAACCATAGGAAAATGGTGGTTTAATGGGATTTAATTGGATATACCCTCTGGTTATGACTAATATAGCCATGGTATAGATGGCCCTAATCGAAATAGATGGTTTACCGTTCTTAATAGCATGGTGATGGCTTCCATGGCTATGTTAGTCACAACCAGATGGTAATGCTGTGAAATGGTGTGATTAATGATTATTAATGATGATTAATGATGATTAATGTGGTTAAAACATAGGATTTACCATGGGATTATGGTGATTTAGCGGGGACAAATCCATGGAATTCCCCTAGAAAATGGAGGTTTTAATGGGAATAATGTGGTTAAAACAATGCCATACCCATTTGGGAATGGTTTACACCACATATAAAAATTGTGATTTGGGGGATGGTTTATTCTTGTTTTACCCACATTAGAAGAAATGGTAAGTCATCAAATCATCTATAAATTGCCCATAGCTATGTCAACCTACCAGAGGGTATACCTTCCAATACATGTCATAGTATTCCCTGAAAAAATCATTGGATTGATTTTGTTGGGAACATCTAGAAGAAACCATTGTTTTGACCATCAAGTTGCTTGCAGTTTCTTGTACATTTTCCTTTGGATCATTCCAATTTCAGGAGTTCAAAATCGCCTGGTGATGCCAACCTGTTGCGATACCAACTTTTTAAGGTGGCCTAGGATCCCATAACGGATGCATCCCCTAGGGTGATTGGCAGGGCGTTTCTTCCATTGCTAACAAACATGTTTGGAAGCCTCCAACACTCATGAATCATTTACCCGGTTTTCACATTGGTATGTTAAGTTCGTGCCTTCTGTTTTTCTCACCTGCCATGACCATTCGGATGTTGTCCCCCATGTTTGTTGGTTGAAACATATTTATTTCTGATAAATTTTAGTATATTCTTTTCTATGATTTCTTCTTCATATGGCTATGAATCAATACCTATTAATACCATTTTTAGGGGGATGAACATCCATTTACCAGCTATTTTGATTTGAACTACAGGGGTACAAGGTTTTGACCCACTGCCATATATAAATCCCCATGGTATTCCCTTAGCCTTAGCACCCCATGGCCCATGGTCCATGCTGGGTTTTTACAGCTCACGGGTATCGCTCCGAGGCCTGGTTGGCGCCACGAACGCAGCGCTGGGCTCTTGTGCTTTGGGGAAACGCTGGCGCAACGCTGTGGATGTGCTAAGTCATCTAGGCCGTTTCGCCGCATCGTTTCGCCGCGGGACGGTTGGAGTCTTTGGGCGGTGAAGGTTGAGAGTATGATGGATTGACCATCTGGGATACAAACTGGGTGAAGGATTGATACAAAGTTTTTGGAGTATGAAACAAAATCTGGAAACCAGAAGGTGCCCCACCTATGTTTGGTGCTTTATAAACCCCATATGAATACTGTAGTCACTAGTAGTACAATGTAGCAATATCATAAACCAGAGATTACTGGAGTCATATCCATGTTTTGGTGGGTTCTTTACCAAGCTCTGCTGTGCTTGGTGATGCCGATATTTGCTTGATCATCGGGGTCATCGGGGTTGCAGAATGTTTCAAGTCATCAATGGATACAAAAAGTCATCTATATCTATATCTATATCTATATCTATATCTCTCTATATATATATAAATAGTCTGATCCAAGATTTGGATATAATCTATAAAATATTTATAGATTTATATACCTATTAATCAATGGATTCATATCATTGGATGGCATCATCAAACATCCCCTGCCCTCGGGCGATGGAAACCTAGTGACGTGATACCTGAAGCATCACATGATTTTAACACACCTGAAAACTTTTCAGATATGGAGCTTTCCAATTCATGGGACTAGCCCTAAATCATCCATTCTTGACTTGGTATTCTGCTTGTTCATGCGCCAAGAGGGATGTTTTGAGTTGCTTCTTATCTGGCCGTCATGGTCCGCATCACAGGTCGCGTCAGCCTTCAGGGGAACGAGATCAGTCGTCAGGCGTTGGTGGCTTCATTTGGTGCAGGCGCTGGATCTGACCCAGCAAAGATTTCAGGGTTGACTCTGGGATGATCATGATGATCAAGAAACTGAGTGGGATCTTGATGGAAACTTAGTGGGATTATAAAGAAATCTTCTAATTGAGGGTTAATTTGATAAAGAAACTTAGTGGGATTTCACCATCAAGATTCGTTGACTGTATCAATATGATTGAGATTGATTTAACCCCACAAAAGATGGGGGGCTTTGACCAAGCACAGATCGATGATTTACGTCGTAAATAACCAGAGGATAAGTTTTGAATAGGTAAATAATCTACAATGTGAGGCCCCCAAGATAGCTAAGTCGGTTTATAACTCCAATAACTATGGTTTATGGTATTTATAACTATAGTTACTGTTACTGGGGCTTATAAACCAACTTATATCTTGGGGGCCTCACATTGTAGAATCATCAACACATGGGCCATTTTCAGTAGCTATGTTAAATAACCAGAGGGTCATTTCCCAGTACAATCCCCATTTTTGTTGGTGAAATCCCCATTAATCACCATTAAATCCCCATTAAATCCCCATTGAATCCCCATAAAATCCTCCTTGCTATCCCCATTTTTGCTGGTGAAGTGAATTTTTTCCCTGGTTAAATCCCCTGTTTCTGTTGGTGAAATCCTCCTTGCTATCCCCATTTTTGCTGGTTTTTTTCTCCGAAAATCCTCCGGAGATGTCGGACCCGATGTCAGGCGTGGCATGTCCTTGGCAGCTGCTCCTGCGCTTCCCTGGCGCTGCATCGGCCGTGGCCAAACAACAGGCGCGACTCTGCGGCCCTGCGGCCCTGGGGGCCTGGGGGGCCTGGGGGGCCTGGGGGCCTGAAGTGTCATAGGATTGTCGTCAGGATAATATTGGTAATTAAATAGGACTAATCGTACTGTATCATAATTACATAGATCCCATTCCCATTCATAATATTCATAGGTCAGTACCTCTTCAGGTCACTTATAATTAACTGGAGTTACAATCCATTGACGATTCCTGGGATGAGAAAGCGAGTACCATCCCCATTTGGGCTCGCCCGAGGAGTGGGCTCGCGCACTGACGCTGTACGATGGAGTTCTACAGCCAGATCCTTGCGCGCGCCACGGACTCCACGATGGCCAAGTCTCCCCTAGCGTCCCATCAAAGCCTGGGGATTTCACAATCAAACATACCCTCTGGTTATGTCAAAATAGCTATTGAAAATGGCCCATGGAAATAGTGGATTTACCCATTGAACATGGTGATTTTCCATAGTTATGTGAAAGTTTACCAGAGGGTATTGTGGATGGGCCAGCGAAATCCTGCACCAGCTTGGCTGGTTGGATGCTTGAAACCCGAAAAAAATGGGATCAACCAAGATCCACCACCTATCAACTGGATTTGTTTGTTCTTTTTCTTCATCCACAGTAGCAGCTTTAACCATTAGACAAGGGATTCAACTTTTGATGGTTTCAATCCCACTCATTGCTGGTAAATTGGGGGGATGGTTCACTGTTACGTTAAAGCTCATTGCTGGTTTTGTGAAGCTGTAGGATTTTTTTTCATGTCAGATACTGTGGATGGAGGAAATCCTGCACCAGTTAGTAGATGGGCAGTTTATCCCATTGCAATCCCATGAAATTTACAGTGTTAAATTAGTTCCCATTGCAGTTACCCTGCCTGGTGCAGGATTTCGCAACCAAAAAAAACGTATTGCCTGTTGAATGGGATTGAACCATGGGATTTCAAGGAGGTTGAAGTATGGGATACCACCGTCAAGCATGGATCATGACGGATAATGTCAGTATGTCTGATATGGGTATGGTCGGTCAAAACCATGAGACCGTTGAGGTCTTAGCAGCAGAATATCCACATGATGAATCCTCGAATCCTCGACTTTGATTATCGATGAAGCGTTCGATTTGTTTGGACATTGAGGATTGAGGAGGTTGTAACCGGATGGTGAAAAAAGTGGCTGAATTCTATGGTTTATGGTATAATTATAGATAACTATAGACATATAACTTACAACCATTATTATAGATAGATGACTATTATGGTTATAATTATTATATATATAACATCATATAACTATAGTAGTCATGGGGTTTATAAACCAACTTAGACTTGGGGGGCACTATCCTGATCTGAGTGATTTTGGGAGGATGATCTCTGTGAAACGTCGCCAGTGCTGTCGCAGACCAAACCCCCGCCACGTGACGTGTAGTGACAAATTCAGAGCCGAGAGTTTTATTAGATTATTAGAACATCTTCCACCTTCAATATTCAGATGATTTCCTATGGCGCTTGGTCCAAATTCCAGAAATTCTGTTCGTGCCAGATATATTTCTAGTTCTGTCATATACTGATTTCCGTGGTCTTGACTGCCCCGCAAAGAGGGGTGGTGCATAGCTGTCAAGACAGTGGGGCACCGTCATTTTTTAAGACCAATACATGTCAAAACAGTGTAGGATGGTGCCCCCCAGGAATAAGTCGGTTTATAAACCATTACAAACCCCATTAACTATAGTTATATCTACATATAGCTACCATAAACCATAGAATTGGCAGTGTGTCAAAACCTTGTACCCCTGGTGAACATCAAAATAGCTGGTAAATGGATGTTCATCCCCCTAAAAATGGTACTTATAGGTATTGATCCATAGCCATATAGCTACCATAAGCCATAAACCATAGAATTCAGCCACTTTTAAGGCACCTAGCCATGACTGAGTTTTTCAATTGGAACCGAAACGGTCATGGCCCGGTCATGGCCAAGGCTTGGAGTGGTCATGGAGGTTGGCCTCACAATGAAGGCAGGACTTGAGATGGGATAAATCGTGGATACCCCCCAAAAAAGTTAGATAATCACATTAGCATTTAACAACTAAAACTGGTTGGTGGTTTGGAACATTTTTTATTTTTCCATATATATTGGGAATAATAATTCCTAATCCCAACTGACTAGTATTTTTCAGAGGGGTTGAAACCACCAACCAGAAAACGTTGAGGTTGAACAAGATTTAATGGGATATTCCATCGGGTATAGGGATTTAAAAAGATGCATAGCCATTCCCAAAAAAGGGACCAGAAAGTGTTTCCCAGAATGGTAAAGATTCTCTTTCGAGATACGTTCCAGGATTCCAACTTTTCTATTTTTTGGAGGTTGCGGTTGCGAACCAAACCATGGCTTTCGGGGGGAAGAACCAAGCGATGGCTGGGTCGTGGGTGGCATGATTCTTTCAGGGAGGATTTCCTATCGCACTATGAACTAGGTTAATTAATCTTGAAGTGGTATCAATGAGATTATCTACGTTCACCAGCTCAGAATTTGTCATTTTTTGCAGGGTATTGGCATGGATTGGCCATGGTTTATGGCATTGTTTTACCCAGATTTTCCATGATTTTCCTAATGTTTTTCCCATGATTTCCCAAGATGCCAGGACACTATCTGGTTGGTGGTTTGGAACATTTTTATGACTTTCCATTCAGTTGGGAATGTCATCATCCCAATTGACTTTCAGTCCATCATTTTTCAGAGGGGTAGGTATACCAACCACCAACCAGCTATGATTGAAAATATATTTGGCCACGACCTGGAAATTCTGAGGCCTCGCCTGGATACAAAGATGATGTTCATCTGCTCCGTCAGATATGCCTACACTATTTGATTTACCCTGAGGTCATTTGGAGGTTTCCATAGTCATGGGGGTACCCCAATAGCTGGAAGGTTTATAAGGGAAAATCCTTTTAAGATGGATGATTTAGGGGTACCCCAATTTATGGAACATCACCGTTTTTAATGAACGGTGAATCATCAATCATCTATACACAGGCCATGCTGTTCATAGCAAACTGGTAGCCATCACAGAAGGTAACCCATATTTTCATCCCAACTTAAACCCCAATGATATCCCATTAGATCCCATGAAAAACCACTGTTTATTATCATCCCAACTTCAATGGGAATTTCAGGATCCTAAAATGGAGGTACTGTACCATATAAGGCCGTATTTTGTGGGGATATTCCCTTACATAGCCCTGACAAATAGGCCTTATATATGGTAGGTACCTCCAATAAATCGGTTCCTGAGATGGCCAGTGAATGGAAACTCCACCATTTACATGGCAATTTTCCCATTAAGACCTCCAAGACCTCCATATTTCGTTGTTTTTTTGGCCCACTAAAACTTCCATTTAGTAGGGGGGAAGTTACCATTAAATCCTCCATTTAGACGATATTTTACATAGCTATTAAATCCCATTAATCATTAAATCCCATGAACAACCACCATTTTCCTATGGTTTTCCTATGGTTTTCCTATGGTTTTCCTATGGTTTTCCTATGGTTTCAATCTGTGCTTGTCGTTGTTGCGCCCAAAAATCCACCGCCAGGCAGCCCCCAAGCTTTGCGAGGAGAACGCACCGAGAACTGGGTCCTGGATGGTCCGGGGGGGACGAAGGATAAAAACGGTTTTCTACTGGGTACCCTCTGGTAAATTAACATAGACCCTGAAAATCACCAATTTTTAGAGGAAACTAATCTTCCAACCCCTATCTACCAGGGTCTATGTTAATTTACTGGAGTGTAATTTATGGAACATATGGTGATTTATGGGAAACATATAAGAAAATAGCTATTGACTGAAAATGGCACATTTATACTTAGTTATGGGATGTTATGGGAAATATTGTGATTTATGGGACATATATGGGAAATATGGTGATTTATGGATGTTTACCCTCTGGTAAACGTTTACAGTTTGCGAACTGGAAAATGGCCCATGGAAATAGTTGATTTACCTATTCAAGATGGGGATTTTCTATAGTTATGTTGGTTTACCGGAGGGTAAATATGATTAAATGGGATTAATCTCCAAGAATACTGGTTGTTTATGGACATGTAATTTCAATCTGATTGGACTATGTAATTAGCACATACCAACAACATATACTCAGACCCACAGATGGTTGGAAGCAGTACTTGGATTTTTGCATGTAAGGGGTACCTGGCTTTTGTGTCATCTCACCACTTCTGTTGTTTAACGGGCCCCTCTTGTTGCCTCCGTAACTTTCCAATTACTTGGTTTGGAACATTTTTTATTTTTCCATCCATTGGGAATGTCATCATCCCAACTGACTTTCATATTTTTCAATATGGTTAAAACCACCAACCAGAAATATATATATATATATAATATATATATATAATATCAGTAGTTGCTGGGTATTACCAATGTTAGGATAAGAATATTATATGTATTATATGTATATATATATATACATATATATATATATATAACCGGTTTCCCATTACTTGTTGCCCTTTTATGGGCGTTTCTCAACATTGGGCCCCCACGTTGACGACGACGACGACGACGACGACCTGAGCCGTAACGACTGGGATGGATTTTTGTTGCTGCCCCATGACCTGAGAATTATGATTGGCAGCACCAATTATTATGAACCATGATGAATTGAATATTAACTAACATTATATTACTAACCACTATTAATCACTATTAGCCACTATTAATCACTATTAGCCACTAGTAATCACCATTAATCACTATTAACCACTATTAGCCATTATTAACCACTATTAGCCACTATTAATCACTGTTACTAACCATTAAGCAGTATCGCAAGTCTTTCCGCGTCGAAGCCCATCCCAAGTGCCCATGACGGATGGTGCCCGTGGAGGAGTTACAGCAGTTGGGCCTTGAAGCGGCACGCCTCAGTGGAAGAAAAAAATGCCGCGGATTTTTTTTTCGGGGACGGACTGGGGACTTTCAGAGTGAGAACCGGTGGTTGAAAGCTTTAGTGATCAACTCATATTCTCATATTCAATTCAGGATAACTTAAGGTGCCCGCAATTCAGAGAGCTAAGGCATCTTAAATGCTAAGCTGGTTGATCACTAATACCGGGGTCACACAAATCCAGTCCCATAGATGATATAGATGTCCCTTTCCCATTGGTTGCGATAGATTAATAGAGGGGTCATCCCCATTACCATCTGGTTATTTAACAGTTCGCCATGGAAAATCACCATGCTATTACATAAGTTTGGTAAACCATCTATTTCTATGGGCCATGGCTTACCATGGCTATGTAACAAATAACCAGAGGGTAAACCTGCCCATGGTGACGATAGATAGATAAGCCCCCCAGTTATAAGTTGGTTTATAAACCATGAAATAACCACCATGAAAACTAGTTCGTGAAATATCTACCATAAACCATAGTTTATTCGTTTATTCAACCACTTTTTTTAGGCAACTGAAGCATATTTTCCATATATTTTCCAGTAAATCACCATATTTCCCATATATTTCCCATTGAACCTTCCATCCCTTCGGCCCTCGGCCCATCTGAATCTTCTTCCCGTTAGTCAAGATATCGATCCTAAGAGGACATCAAGAGGACATCAGAATCTCAACGGTGACCGGACATCATCCCATTCCCCGAAATATAAAAATCATACATCTGGGTACATTATAACGACCTCACTGTCCTCCCTCACTGGAAATCATGGTTAGTAAGGGAAATCATCCCCAAATGGCCTTAATTCAGGTTAGTGAAATATTATTTCATTTGCCCAGATACATGGGAATATCAAAATCATCATAAACATGTCTATAAAATGGGTATATATATATACCGTATTAATTAATATGACTATGACTATTCGATATCAATCATAAATGGGATGATGTCCATAAATATTCCATTAATGTGTATATATGCATATATATATATATCTAAAGACATCATCCCATTAATGGTATATCTCAATCAATATAAATGGGACAATCATTCCATTAATGTCTACAAAATGGGTATATTAATACCGTATTAATTAATATGATTATTTTCATGGATATGTTATGTCTATAGATATGGGATCGTGGGTATACTCAAAAAAAAATCTATATAATGTGGTTAAAACAATCACCAAACAAGCCCATTGAATATGATTTCAATGAGGGGAATGGGATGATAACTAGCCCAAAAAAAATCATTCCCCTGAATGACGGATAATAATAATCATAATGGGTGAAGACATGCCCCATATGATTTCAATGTCTCCACCCAGCCCCTTAGAACATCGTCCTGGCTCAGGTTCCCAGACGCTGGTGGTCACCGATTCGCTCATTTCCATCCCGGAAGACCCGCCGGAACTGCTGATGGATGCGCAGTAGCCGGAACGGAGTCAGGGTGGCTGCGATCCATCCCTGTTGGTTGATGATGAGTTCGGGGATGATACTACCCATATGCGAACCATGGTGCTGGAATATGAATCCCAACATTTGCCCTTAAAATCACCCAGTCATGTAGGTAAATATACCATACATGGAGCATACGGGCTATCTACCCTTCATATATTGGGGATAATTAAATACTCCAAGAACGGGGAATCCCGATTTTAACCAGGATTAAATGGAATGATAGAGGGATTTTGGTTCACACTGCTCATGTGTTTGTGGCGAACGTACCTTTTATGCAGCATTTTATGTACCTTTGGGCTTGAGGCTTGCAGCATTTCTATGCCGCAGATATTGCTTAGATCCCATGAATATATCCTCGCTCTGTATACCACTATGAATAGCATTCTTTGATATTTTCCCCTAAAATACATTATGATCCTATCCGACTTACAGATATTTGGGACCATTTAAATTATGTTTATTACTGGGATGGGATGAGTTATAGTTTGAGCAAAGGGTACCTATGAACTATAGTTATATCCTCCTAGTCAACCTTTGTTAATTGTAGTTCTAAACCAAATCCTATGGAATATTGTATAATATGAAGATATGTACCTATGAACTATTAATGGGATATTGATAGTACCTAAGTATGAACACCTAATCCCATTAATATCCCTATTGTACCTATTAACATCTAATCATACTTATATCCTCCTAATCAACCCTAATTGTAGTGGTTGCACCAAATCCCCAAAAACTGTGGTACTTATGGTAGTTATAAGCCAAATTAACCCTAGTTATGATTAGTAATAGTGTGATATGTATCTAGAAATTAGTTAATATGATAATAATAAAAACAATAATAATAATAATAAATAATAATAATAATAAATAAATAAAAAAAAAAATAAAAAATAATAATAATAATATATATATATATACACATTACCCAATCATGTATCTAGTAAACCCAAATTCCCACTAAAAAAGCTAACTATGGAACACCACCTTCTCATCACTTCCGAGGTACTCCAAAGCCTTGGCCTACCACGCCCGCGATGACGCCACCTCCGTCCTCCAGGACTCGCCCGAAACGCGGCGGAAGGGCTGGGCGCGGATTGCGCTGTCCCTGGGCCGTGGTTGAACGGAAGGGCTGGGCAAAACCCTTCGGTTGGGGCGGGGGTCACCAGGGTCGCCATGGATGTTTTTTTGGGAAAATCCTGGCGAAGATGAGAAAATCATTGGAACATCATGACAACATCGTCGGATAATGGCTATTTTAATGGGAAATCATGGGAAAAATTACCGTGAGAATGTAATGGGGGCATAATGGGATAATTGTATATAATTATGGGATGGATCCAACCAACAGTCAAAACTTGGAAATCCCCTTTAAATCGATGTTGATCGCTGGGAAAATCATCGAAGTGAACGTGGGGTTTTCCAGCATTTCACAGGTTTGATTGCAGGAGGGTAAATTCAGTGTATCTGGGTAACTATGGTGCCTGGGTAGAGAAACTGATAGACACTTCCATGATTCTCCCATTTGAATCCATGTATCTGGGTAAATTTGATCACGACCGAACCCTGTCCTCCCGAACCCTGGAATCATGGCAAATAAGTATAGGGAAATCATCCCCTTCTATGGCCGAACTCTTCAGGTTAGTGAATTATTATAATTTACCATGAGTGTATGGTGATGACATCACTTTCGAGGTAGTGGGTGGGTTAATAAGCTATCTCTTGGCCTGTAGCCATGAAATGATGGGTAATCAACGAACAGACATAAGATTAAAACATATGACATGGGTATATACTCGGTATATGGCCCCCAGTTATAAGTTGGTTTATTAAAAAATATAAACCATGAAATAACCCCCATGAAAACTAGTTCGTGAAATATCTACCATACACCCTAGTTTATTCAGCCACTTTTTTAGGCAACGGTTCGAACGCGATCGCTCGACTGGGGGACCAATCCTATCTATATATATCCCATTAAATCCCATTAAACCATCATTTTCCCATGGTTTTTCCTATGGTTTTCCCATTAAGTTACCTGTAAAATGGTTAAGATGTTATTTTCCATCCTGTTTGGGATGATCCCAGCTGTCCTTAGCGACGTAAATACATGGGCTCACTGCCCCTTCGAAGTTACGTAGCTTTAGCAACTTTAGCGTATCCCATTCGTATTCCCATCCCCATGTCCTGGATTTACCCGGCCTGGTAAACTGTTACATAACGAACTGGAAAATCCATGAAACTTATTGAAACTTCAGCCACTTTGAATGGGAAAACTCACTATTTCGACTGGGCCATGGCTTCAATAGCAAACTGTTAGTTTACCAGGCCGGGTAAGTTGATGTGGTTTTCTTTTTCCATTAGTTGATCCATTGGTTGTTCCATTTTAATATGCCACCCGAATCAGCAAATCCAATGTCTGCGAAAAAAACGAACAACGACATCTTTTTTAAGGTGGTGTCCTCTATAGTTATATTAGTTATATTGATCACAATTTATTATCCCACCAGCTATCGTTGTTTTCATCACCCCGCTAGTATGTTAACCTAGTCTTACTGGTGCGTTTTACGCAGGGAATTTTCGGGAATGATCCATAATAACTATTAATCATCATCCCAGCAATCCCCAGCAACCCATCCATTCCCTACGTAAAACGCACCAGTAAGTAGTTTATCAACCACCAACAGGTGGCACTTTTTGGGGCACGAAACGTTGACGAAACGTGGGCGAAAATCCTGAGGTTTACAACCTTCTTCAACCCCGGTGGACTGGCAGATGGTGAAGTGTGGATACCAGAGGCGGAAACTGGGACTGGACGGGGTCACCAAAAATGGAGTCCCTAGGTATTTCACCAAGCATGGGGGAGCATAAAAATGGGGGATTTAAGTATACTCAACTGTGTCATAGTATCCCCATTGTTGACGGTTATAGACTTAAGTTATAGATCCCGTTCAAAATCCCATGAAATCCACCTTCATGGATACAATGGATCTGAGTAAATGTGATCACGACCTCACGTCGTGATGTCAATGGAATGGTTCGTAAGAGGACGTAAGAGGTAACTAATCATTCAAGTACTAGTCATTCCAGTTACTACCCTCTGGTAAACTAACATAGCTATTGAAAATGGTCATTTATAGTGAGTTTTCCCATTGAAAGTGGTGATTTTCCATAGTTATGTTAGTTTACCAGAGGGTAATCATTCCAAAATCATTCCAGGCATTCTAAAGATTCACTAATCACATTATACTAGACTATTCCAAAAATCCCAAAATGGCCTTAATTCAGGTACTCGATTGCGTTCTGCTTGCGGAAAAAGCAGCTGATCGAAACCTGTGGCCTTCAGATTAGTGAATTACATAAATGGATATGGATTCTTGGTGATTATTGAAGGAAAAGTGGATTAGTGTCAGTGGTTACACTATGAAAAGATTACGCTATTACGAAACCATGGATAACATCCCTTCATTTCTCCTGGTTGGCAGATTCAATATTTTTTGTTTTCGATGAATCCCCACATCTGAAGTGATGACATGTGCACAGACAACGACCCCGTGTATTTTTTTTTCAGTAGTGTATCCATGATATTCATTGATATTCTATTTATTCACACAGTGGGTAGTATATGATCATTATATAACCATATTGTACCCCAGTTCCATGTGGAATTTTCCCATGTCCACATCCAAGCAACGTACGCTCGGTTATCCCCCTGACATCCTATGAAAATTCATGTCCACCGAAGATACTTCGGGCTAGCCCCCCTTTTTTTCTGATATCATTTGCGCCAGCAAAATGCATCCATGTGATATAACTGATATCATATCCCCATTGTTGATGGTTTTTTCAATCCCATATGGGATCTCGTTTGAAATCCCATCAAAGTCCCAGGAAAAGTCACATGAAATTCCCATTCAAATCCCATTATTATCCCATTAAATCCCCTTAAATCCCAATAAACATCCCATTTCCCAAGCCGTTCTCAACCAAACCCTCGGCACTAGGCCTCTGCCACGCGTCCGTGGCAATGGCAAGCCAACTGGCAGCAGAGCTTTCAACGTCTGCGACAGAACGGCAAAGCTTTCGTAGCACCAATCATACGGGAGCCATGGCGGTGATGGGCTCGTGCTGGTTGGGTGGGTTTTAATTGGTCAAAAGGGGAGTTTAATTGAAGTTTAATGGAATTTTATGGGACTTGAATGGGATTTCATGGGACTTTCATGGGAGTTTCATGGATTTTTATGTTTTTTTTTGAATTTCACCATCAACAACCGGGATAAGATGACTTTGTTGGGGATATATGATATGATGGTTCTTCATCATGTTCGAAATTTGTTTTTTTGTTTCT